TTCGATTTGACCCCACGTGTGTTTGATCCTTTCTGACTGTGGAACAATTCAATGAATGAGCGTGTTTTCTGTGTTGTTGTTTTGTCAGTCGTCCACTCAAAAAATATCAATTCCTTACACGTGCTTTTAATAATCTGAACTTTTATAAGTGGTGCGTTTTCAATGATGTTCAGCATATATTATAATTTTCTTTTGATGCATCACCTAAACAGATGTAAACATCCCTTGGTTTCACCATAAGTGACCCGGTTGTATCACGTCAGGCTGGAGATACTGTGCGGTCAACTGTACGCGAGAGCGGGAGCAGTGGTGTCGGACAGACCGCCCTCGAGGGCTTTAGAAAGTCAATAAAGGGACGAAACATATTTTGTTGTGTTTCAATCTGATGGACGAATGTTATCTATTGCTGAGAGGTCCCGAATGTGATATTTCTTTAGAAAAGGATGGAATATTTGGTTTATTGACCACAGAGTAGATTCTGTGAGTCAGTGAGTCCCCCGCCGTGATATTGCTGGAATATTCCTAAAAGCGGTGTAAAACTAAACTCACTCACTCGCTCTTACCATGATACATAACTGATGCTTAGTCCATCTCTCTCCCCCAGTGGGGCGGTGGGGTAGTCTAGTGGTTAAAGCGTTGGCTCGTCACGCCGAAGACCCGGGTTCGAATCCCCACATGGGTACAACGTGTGAAGCCCATTTCTGGTGTCCCCCGCCGTGATATTGCTGGAATATTGCTAAAAGCGGCGTAAAGCCAAACTCTGTCAGTCAGTCAGTCTCTCCCCCAGTGCATGTACAATTGCTGAGTCATGTCCAATATTGAGACCACAAAGTTCCAGGTTTTATCGGTCAACTCTCCAATACATCGATCACAACCAGAACATGTACACAATATCACGTGCCTCTAGTGACAACACATCGTTACATGACCACCTATCGAATCCACACGGGAAAACTGGGACGTGGTCAGAAACCATTGCTATCCTTCTACAAAACAACATATTACGTTGTAGTTTGTACCAGAGCACAGTTGTCACGCCTACACATGACCCTCCACCAACAACCCACAGTGCTGCAAATATGCATAGATTTGCTGATAAATTACCCCCGAACTTTAGACCAATGTGCTGGTTGCTGGACCCTCAGTTTTTTCTGCTGTGTCATTTCCCCAGCTCAATAAATATAACTCGAGGAACACAGATAAGCAGGATCACATCAAAATGGTCAAGGCAAAGAAGTGGATACTTGCTTCAAAGTTTGACGGAGAGCCAAAGGACTCCAACTTCAAGTTCGAAGAGGAGAACCTTCCTGCGTTGAAAAATGGAGGTGAGAGTATGGCGTAATGATGGCCTTGAGATCTCCCACTTACACAGTCCACCGCGATTATGTTTAAGTATTGTTGCATCTGGAGTAATATATGGCAATCAATCATATACATTTTAATTATTGATTGGTGTATTATTTCAACCACTGTCAGACGAAAAACTAGATGCAATAATTTCAAGCATCTGTGCTTTCTAATATTTCACAAATGTTAGCGTTCCTTTGAATTACGGAAGTCTAATGCTGCCATTTTTGTAGCATAAGACATTTTCAGCGACATTTCTCGTTACTTCAGTTAGTTTCTCATTGCTTCGTGTATTTTCTCGTTATTTCCATTATTTTCTCAGTATTTCAATTGTTTTCCCGTTGCTTCGATTAATCTGCCCTTTGTGGTATTTTACTAGCTTTACTCAGAAGCAAACAGTTCCTCTTTATCATATTTTAGCTGTGATATTTCACGACACGTGAAGCATGAATATGACGTCATTGTTATCGTTAAAAAGCAACAGTGACCAAGTAATGCACAACACAGAAAAACGTCACGAGTGATGATGAAACATCACGGAGAGAAGTTTTCAACCAACTGTGGAGTTGTTATCATTGGCTGTGACGGGGTCTCTTGGCAGCTGTTGAACTCTGACCATGACATGTAATATGTTTACATTAAAGACCGCGTATTAACTTTTATTATGTATTTGCGCTCTTGAATGTAAACATGTAAAAACATCATTTTCACATAAAGGTTTAATCTACTACATATCTATGCTGTTTTTACGCTTTTTATTGTTTCTGATCGTATTTTTATAATATTTAGCAATACATGTATTTCTATTCTTCCTTCAGCTTTGTGCGTTTTCTCGGTAACTATAAAATAGTATATCCATGGAAGTGGCTCTTATTTACGGGATTTCTGAAAATGGTCATTACTTTCATGTCGTTTAGCCGATCTTATTCAGTCTGAACATACAATACAAAGTAAAGGTTTGCTATCGTGTTCTGCCGTAAAATGAGAACAATCCTCGGGTTTTTCCCGCGGGTATGTAGTAACAGTAAGTACGATTTTGACAATGGTTTTATCTTAGTCGATGAATGTGTTTTGGTATAAAGGTGAAGTCATATATACAACTGAATTAAAGCAATCTTTACTGTGCTATAATATATGGTAAAGTTCGTTCAAATGGCCAGATGACCAAATATTAATCATCTAGAAATTTTTTCAATGTGTTCAGTTTTGACAGGAATAACCTGAACCCTAAACAACCTAAAACCATCATCAAAACAAGAAACTGTAATCTGTGGGTGTCACTAGAGTCAAGTCAACTAAGATAAGACCCTTGTCAACATCGTATTTACTAACACTACTTACACGAGAACAAAGGATTATTCACATTTTACGGCAAAACACGATAGCGAACTTTTACCCTGTATTGTATGTATTAAGACTGAATAATGAATAAGATCGGTTGACTAACTGGACAGTAATGACCATTTGCAGAAAATCTGTAAATAAGGGTTAGTTCAATGGATATACTATTTGTAGTTACTGAGAAAAGGCACAAAGCTGAAGGAAAAATATAATAATATGCTTCAGATGAAGTCGTGTAGGGTGGTAGAGGAAGCTCTAATCGATATGAGCACCCGAGAACTTCTAATGTACAAGGGGGATAGTTCCACGGATATACAACTTCTTTACTACAATATATGCGACGTTACGGTGCAACTTGATGTAAGATAAACTTAAAGCACTGAGAAAAATTTCGAAGCAACGAGAAAATAATTGAAACTTTGAGGAAGCACGTTATAGCAACGAGAGGGGCGGTGGGGTAGCCTCCTGATTAAAGCGTTCGCTCGTCACGCCGAAGACCCGAGTTCTCGTCGTGATATTGCTAGAATATTGCTAAAAAAAGGCGTAAAACCATACTCACTCACTCATTCACTAAAGCAACACGTGATATGTTCCTGCAAACCTGTCATCATTACACTGTTTTACTAGCGTCATCAGGAACGCCTTTACAAGTCTTCATGAATGACCAGGTCCATATAGCTGGAATATTGTTGAGTGCAAACAACATCTCATGACCTAAACACGGCTACAAATGCACCAATGTAGAATCCCATGTATATACCATCCCTACTCCATATCCTGAGCCCCGTTTCACAAAACTATCGTAGGGCTACGACTGGCGTACCTCCTTATACTGTAACATAATATCTCCATAATAGTCGTAGCGCAACAAAAGCTTTGGGAAACGGGGCCCAGGTCCGCGCCCACATCCGTGGTGACCTCCAGCTGAACTCTCTTGTCAACAGATAGCCAATCGTCCCAGGTAATGCCCAGGTTACTATATATAGGACACGAGCGTACAGTTCATTCGAGAGTAGGTTGAACAGGAATTCATTCATCTCCTTCCAGAGACTGGCGGTCTGTACACACATGTAAATAAAGCGCTTATCGCTCGTGACAGGGCTCGGTGTTGATTCGAAATAGCAAGTCATAGTTGTATTTCACCGTCCAGTTGAGGTTACATAATGAAATTCCTCGCTCTTACATCAATTACAGACAGTCAAAATAAGCAGGGACAAGTACGGCTCTATCTAACACCAGTTCCTTTCGAGTACCATGTTTATTTAATATACCCCGGTCTCCCCTTCTCCCCAATAACTGAAATTAGGAAGTACAAAATTTCCTTTTCCTTTTTGGAGATTTATTTCTTTATTTCATTTTTTCATTCATTCATTCATTTATTTATTCATTGTTTGTTTGTTTGTTATTTATTTACTTATTTATCCATCCATCCATCCATCTATTCATTCACACACTCACTCACTCACTCAATTATTTTGGGGTATAATTCCTGCCTAGTTGATGTGATCAAATGAACTACACATAAAGTTAAAATGAATGAAACTGTTCTCAGAGAAAAACTTTCAGTTGGTTTAGATTACAGTCTATTAACAATGTTTAAGTTGCATATTAGGTATCAGGACTGCAATTAATAAGAGCGTGTTTTGAGAACGCCTGTCTACTCGCCCTCCTCTAAACGTTTTAGTTGTATCAGCTAAACCATGGTGAAACTTGTTTTCTTGTCATTAGAGTGATGTTTGAGGTTGATCATGACACCAAATGTACACCTTGAACGACGTTCGCCTTCACAAATAAAATTGGTTGTAAATGTGTTTTTATTGAACATTCATGTGAGGAAACTTAAGCATACAAATGTAGGGTACATCAGATTGACCTTTAGAAGAGATTCTTTTGATTCTGTTTTTTCTTACGATTTTGAAAAAGGCTTTGTATTGTAGAATTACCTTTTACGATGCAGAAATTACGAATGGACAAGGTATGATACGGGCCCTGGCCAACCCCAGGCTCTGCTTACTTTAAAAATAAAATCGACAACACACTTTCCACAACAATATAAACCTCTTCCAGAAGCAGAGTCGAATGTACAATTCTGACTATATAAGATTAATTGTGACTTCTGACAACACTAAGTCTTGTAACTAAAATATAGCATTTCAAATAAAATTGTAAAGAAATGTGCTCATGGATGAAACATTGTTTCGAGACTAACATCGTCAAATGACAGTTTAAGTGTACATGCGTTTGTGTTTGTTTATATTCATGCAATATTTTCTGTTTGTTTTAGAATTCATCTGTGATGCAGTATATCTCAGTGTGGACCCATACATGAGGTAACATCTAGTTTGGATTCATTTTTCCCAAATATAATTCTTCAAAGGTATTTAGATGTTGATGAAGTAATACAAGACAAATCGTATGGACAGCAACTTCTTTATTTGTTTATCACGGCGTTTCTGGGCTAGTTCTTGCCCCTTCACGTTTCTGGGCTAGGTCTTACCCCTTCTTCTTCAAAAGGACAAGAACTAGCCGAGAAACGCCGTGGTAAAGAAAATAAAGACGTTGTTGTCCATACGATTTTTCTGGTATTTTCTCAAATGGTTTTATTATATTCGATTAGACTAGCCAGTGATTGAAATAGGGTCATCTCCTTTGGAAAGTTGAACCTACAGCATACATCACATTGAGAGACGATATGACAGGTCGTTTATAAATCAAATGGACCCTTGAAGATCCGGGTTAGAATTTGTCTTCAGTAACCCATGCTTGTCGTAAGCGGCGACTAACGAGATCGGGTGGTCAGGCTCGCTGACTTGGTTGACACATGTCATCGTATCCAATTTCGTAGATCGATGTTCATGATGCTGATCACTGGATTACCTGGTCTAGACTCGATTGTATGCAAACTGTATAGCTGGAATATTGCTGAGTGCGACGTAAAACAGCAAAACAAACCACCATCTCCCCCAAACAAACAAATAAACAAATAAATATAAAGCAAATGTGCTCCCGTGTCTGAAACCTTCTGTGCATATGGCTTTACATAGATACTTCAGTACCTCACCCCCACTGTATTTGGTTACACTTCTTTTCCAGGACACGTGTATCCTCTGTCGGGGTTGTGATCATGGGCGAACAGGTAGCGAGGTAAGCAGCTTTGTGATTTCTACTGAACAATGGAGTGAGTGAGTGAGTGAGTGAGTGAGTGAGTGAGTGAGTGAGTGAGTGAGTGAGTGAGTGAGTGTGAGTGAGTGAGTGAGTGAGTGAGTGAGTTTAGTTTTACGCCGCACTCAGAAATATTCCAGCTATATGGTGGCGGTCTGTAAATAATCAGGTCTGGACCAGACAATCCAGTGATCAACAGCATGAGCATCGATCTACGTAACTGGGACACGATGGCATGTGTCAACCAAGTCAGCGAACGTGGCCACCCGATCCCGTTAGTCGCCTCTTACGACAAGCATGGGTTATAGAAGATCAATTCTAACCCGGAAGTTTCACGTGCATTGCGCCTGCATTATGTGTTCTTTGACATTTTATGCGTCTATTGAAAATCATGCTGTTACATACAGGTATTTCAACGCGGAGTGCGTTTGGATGTGATGTTTTATAAACAAAAATACCACAGAAATCATAAACAAAATAAACAGTCTTGTAAAATCCTTCCTGTACCGATACACTGCTGTATCAAAATGCCATTTTCGTTATGCGTTTCTTTTTGAGAGAGAGTATATTTTGGTATAAAACATAGCATGGACGAACAGAATCGGAGAATTTGGACAGACCACAGGTTCGGTTAAGTTGGGATATTCGGGTACGGTTTAGTTCACTATTCAGCAATTGTTTCCAGGGTGACGGAGAGTAAAAACAAGGACTACCCCGTCGGATGCCTGGTACAGGGTGTGTTGGGATGGCGTTCGCCTACACTGGTCGACGCTGCAAATAAGAAGGTCACCGAAGCCATGTTTCTTATCAAAGTGCCCGACCTTGGAAAACTAGAACCCTCCACCGCACTGGGAATCTTGGGCATGCCAGGGTAGGTGTTCTCATCAACTGTGAATTAAGTCGTCTGTCCGAGAATTAGGTGTTGAACTTGGTGGTATGTCAATAAATGACATGGGATGCCAGTAAGTGAATTACATTAGGTGTGGTGTCAGTGAACAGTTTCGGTGTCATTAAGTATGACGTCGGTGATTTAAGAATTGTCAATTTATAAAAAATGATGGAAATGAATAGGCGAATTAGGTAAGTATGATGTGTTAAGTGATTTTGGTGTTATGTGAAACGGTACTGACAATGTATGAGTGGGTGATGTTTCAACATTAAGCAATACTCCAAGTATATCACAGAATGAAAGTCCACACAACTAGACAAACTAGTGGTTGATATCATGACAAACCTCCAATGTCGTCGAGTACGATGACGTGAGCGTTGATGTCAACGAATGTGCCAGTTTAATTTTATTTGAACAGCGTGAACATCCCCAGGTTTTGATATTTTCATTGAGCGACTGCAACATTTCAGAATGACAGCTTATTTTGGTTTCCTGGAGCTCTGTCAGCCAAAGGCTGGAGACACTGTAGTGGTCAACGGTGCAGCAGGGGCGGTGGGCAGTGCTGTCGGACAGATCGCCAAGATCAAGGTGGGAATTCAGACAGTATAACCCTACAACTGAGAATATATATGTGATGCTTCAAAAACGACCACCTCACCACCTCACCACACCAACACTCCCCACCTACACTCGGAATACACAGGTCCGGTTAAGCTGACTTTTAATAAACAGCTCATGATATTAGTAATTTGTAATTTATATAAAAGATTAACGTTGCTCAGCAGATAGTATTGAAACAGTTTTAAATAGCTTTAACATCGTTTCCAGGGATGCAAGGTGATTGGCTTTGCTGGATCAAAGGAGAAATGTGATTGGGTGAAGAGTCTTGGATTTGATCACGTGTTCAACTACAAGGAACAAGACATCGACAAGTCCCTGAAAGAGGCTGCCCCCGACGGAGTGGACTGCTACTTTGATAACGTAGGTACAGCGTCCACCTATTGTCAAAATACTGTACAACTTTAACAAATGGACGAACTGTCATCGCAGTAGGCGACAAAGGATGGGCAGAGTTAGATCTGGTAGTAGACAAGGCTTCGACTATATGTGACCACGTTTGCACCCTTATTGGGCAGTAGAAGACCAGGGTTGACACTTATTGGGCAGTAGAAGACCAGGGTTGCACACAAATTGGTCAGTGGGAGACCAGGGTTGAACACTTACAGGGCAGTAGAAGACCAGGTTTGAACACTCATTGGGCAGTAGAAGACCAGGGTTGAACACTTACTGGGCAGTAGAATACCAGGGTTGAACACAAATTGGGCAGTAGAAGACCAGGGTTGAACACTTATTGGGCAGTAGAAGACCAGGGTTGCACACTTATTGGGCAGTAGAAGACCAGGGTTGCACACTTATTGGGCAGTAGAAGACCAGGGTTGCACACTTATTGGGCAGTAGAAGACCAGGGTTGCACACTTATTGGGCAGTAGAAGACCAGGGTTGCACACTTATTGGGCAGTAGAAGACCAGGGTTGAACACTTATTGGGCAGTAGAAGACCAGGGTTGCACACTTATTGGGCAGTAGAAGACCAGGGTTGCACACTTATTGGGCAGTAGAAGACCAGGGTTGCACACTTATTGGGCAGTAGAAGACCAGGGTTGCACACTTATTGGGCAGTAGAAGACCAGGGTTGCACACTTATTGGGCAGTAGAAGACCAGGGTTGCACACTTATTGGGCAGTAGAAGACCAGGGTGGCACACTTATTGGGCAGTAGAAGACCAGGGTTGCACACTTATTGGGCAGTAGAAGACCAGGATGGCACATTTATTGGGCAGTAGAAGACCAGGGTTGCACACTTATTGGGCAGTAGAAGACCAGGGTTGCACACTTATTGGGCAGTAGAAGACCAGGGTTGCACACTTATTGGGCAGTAGAAGACCAGGGTTGCACATTTATTGGGCAGTAGAAGAATAGGATGGCACATTTATTGAGCAGTAGAAGACCAGGGTTGCACACTTATTGGGTAGTAGAAGACCAGGGTTGCACACTTATTGGGCAGTAGAAGACCAGGGTTGCACACTTATTGGGCAGTAGAAGACCAGGGTTGAACACAAATTGGGCAGTGGGAGACCAGGGTTGAACACTCTTTGGGCGGTAGAATACCAGGGTTGAAAACGCATTGGGCAGTAGATGAACAGGGTTCAACACTACGTGGGTAGCGACTGGGTGAGTGGTTTTACGCCACATTTAGCACTATTCCAGCAATATCACAGCGGGGAACACCAGCCCATGTTTGGCACAGATGTGGCAGTTTGAGACCTTTGTGTTCACAATCCGTAATCACTTACAACAATCATGTACTTTTACAGGTTGGAGGAAATTTCACGGCTAAAGTTCTTCAACACATGAAAATGTTTGGTCGTATTTCTGTTTGCGGCGGTATCTCAGTCTACAATGACGCAAAGCCAGCTCTCAGTAAGTATCCGCTTATCATATTTCTAGCTTCATAACAGCACACATTAATGTTTTCTATTATAATATTTTATTGTCAATAATGTAATAAGATATTGCTTAAGAATCGAACGTATAGTTCCTTCAGTGCTGGCCGATATTATCTCTTCCCCTAAATATTCTGAGGGAATTAAATAAGGGATCAGGTGAACGCATAAGTGTTCTTATATTATTATTTTCACAGCTTGTGAAGAAACCTGGAAAAATATATCCCGCAGTAAATATATGATCACTGATGGTGTCTGCACACAGTGCTAACCGATATCTACCATATATTATCATATATTTTATAGATTCCCCGCTATACAATATTACCTACATGCATTAATTAGTGTTTAATACAATTCGTAAAATTTAGGGTGTTACATTTCAACAGTATAGTCGACCGAATTGAGCTGATATAAAGAGAAACCGCTATGTGCAACAAGTCTTCTATTTTCGTGTGTACATCCATAAGTTTATTGTGTCCACTCACAGCTCCAGATCCGTTCATGACGATCCTACACAAACAACTTAGAGTTGAAGGCTTCATGGTGTTGCGATGGGCGGCAAGATATCCAGAAGGCAAAGCTCAAATGAAGAAATGGATAGAAGAGGTAACCGCTATCTAAATTCGTAGACCCTTGAAGATCCTGGTTTGAATTGATCTTCAGTAACACACGCTTGTCGTAAGAGACGACTCACGAGATCGGCTGGTCAGGCCCGCTGACTTGGTTGGCACATGTCATCATATCCCAATTTCGTGGATCGATGCTCATGCTGTTGAACACTGGATTGTCTAGTCCAGACTCGATTATTTACAGACCGCCACCATGTAGTCTATTGTTATGTAGATATTTTCCTTGACTTCCAGTTAATTAAGTGTCAAGTAAGAAAAATAAAGTTTGACCTCCTCTCTATAGTTCTTTATATCAGGGGCGGTGTGGTAGCCTCGTGGTTAAAGCGTCAGGCCGAAGACCCGGGTTCGATTCCCCACATGGGTACAATGTTTGAAGCCCATTTTAGGCGTTCCCCTACGTGATATTGCTGGAATATCGTTAGAAGCGGCGTAAAAAACATACTCACTCACTCGTTATATCATTTGTTACTGTAATCTGTGATTCGCAGTTCTGATCATGGTCAAAAAGCATATTTCTATTCCAGGGAAAGATCAAGTTCAGAGAGACGATCAAAGAAGGCTTCAACAACATGCCCAAGACCTTCATGATGCTCTTGGAAGGCGCCAACACTGGGAAGATGCTGGTGAAGGTCTAGATCAGCTGTTTGATCACTGATCATTTCAGTCTGCATTAACTCGTATATAAACTACTCTTAATGACGTTTAACTTATGGATGCATTAATTTTTGTGATCTTGTAGCTGAATGATTTGTAACTTTTTAAACTTAGGAAACATTTAAATGATAAACAATTTATAACTCGTTACAATTTCATTCTGGATACTCATTTGTCCAAAAGTGTTTCAGTCCATGCATTCGTGTTCATGCATACATCATATACGTACTTAATGTTTATGAAAGATCAAATATTGTGATGTTGTAGCTGTGTTTTGTTAAGATCTGTAACTCAAGAAACATGAATAAAATCTGCAATCAACACATTCTGCGAGTTAAAGTCTTTGAAATATATATCAGGCGACAGGCAGAATTTGTTTTTGTTTATCAAATTTAACAAGTGGCCTCTGTAGCAAACAAGCGCCGTTAAATAATCGTTTCTCGTGTTCTGAGTGAGTGAGTTTAGTTTTACTCTACACTCAGCAATATTCAAGCTATGTGGCGGCGGTCTGTAAATAATCGAGTCTGGACCAGACAATCCAGTAATAAACAGCATGAGCATCGATTTGCGCAATTGGGACAGATGACATGTGTAAAAACCAAGCCAGCGAGCCTGACCACCCGATCCCGTTAGTCGCCTCTTACGACAAGCATGGGTTACTAAAGGTTCATTCTTACCCATGGTGCGGGACACCAAAAATGGGCTTTCCACGTTGTACCCATGTGGGGAATCGAACTCAAGTATTCGGCGTGACCAGTGAATGCTTTAACCACTAGGCTACCCCAACACGCATGGGGCATTTCAGCATTTGGAGGTATGTTCATTAATCTCAGCTGACAATTGATAACCTTGATATATGATTTTCAAAACAAGAATTTCTTACAAGCATAATAATGAATATTCTCTAGTACATCGAGTTTGTAACCCTCACACCGCCGATCTGTATCGAAGTATCGGACTTATTTCAACACCATATATTCTGGAAAAGAGTAGCATTTCCCAAGAGTATTGATATGTTTGAATATACTTATTAACTCTTTGTGCATGCACTGATTTGTTGGTTTGTTGCTTAAGGCCGCAATCGGCAGTATTATTCCTGTTTCATTCCACTCAAAACACTTACCATGTGCAAACATTTTTTCGATTCCAAACCTATCATGAGCAGGTGTTTACGGATTTCTGTAGCTAATTACTGACTATAAATATTACCATATGAACTGTACTCAACACTGTTCAGATCACGTTGTACAGATATTGCCGATTGACACCTTGTTTGAACGATTGACACCTTCAAACTCAGGCAACTTCCGTTCCCTATTATTACATTAAACAGTTAAATAGTAGGTGTTAGGATAGATTTGGTGAATGCTTTCTATAGCAGGTGATCCTTTAATGAGTGAGTTTGGTTTTACGCCGCTTTTAGCAATAATCCATTAACATCGCGGCGGGGGACACCAGAAATGGGCTTCACACATTGTACCCATTTGGGGAATCGAACCCGGGTCTTCGTCGCGACGAGCGAACGCTTTAACCACTAGGCTACCCCACCGCCCCAGGCGATCTGTGACATAGAATACGTTCTATACTTCCAGTATCTCATCCGTTCTATAACACTCGAGGGATGCCGTGTCCCAGATTCCTGTATTAGTTCGAAAGGATTATTCCATCTAAAGTGATCAAACATGTGACTGTTCCGAACGAAATCCACTAACATGTTATCCCTTTCATGATCTCACGAACAATCCAGATCGTTGAAGGTGTGAAGATTGATGCACAGCTAATATGAGCAGCCGACCTTTGGATGCATGCGTTACCGGGACACTTCATATTCAGTATTACTGCACTCCACATGTCATTACCCCCAGCTCAGTACGTAATTCTGGCTGAGCAGGCTGACGACAAAATGGTTAAATCAAAGAAGTGGATACTTGCTACCAAGTTTGAAGGAGAGCCCAAGGACTCCAACTTCATGCTTGAAGAGGAGGACCTGCCTGCTTTGAAAGATGGAGGTGAGAATATGTCGTTATGGTGGCCTTGGAATCTGCACCCACACTGGAACATAGTTACAAATTCCCCTACATAGCGTATAATGTGATATAGCGTACACTGTTATATAGGGTAAATTTGATATAGCGTACAATGCATGCACCTTGCCACACTCCAACAAAACATCCTCGTCCGTGACCTAACTGGAAAGCTGCCGAATTCGTTTCACGTCAACAGATCGCTAATCATCCCAGTTTATGCCCAGGTTATTTTATCTACTATCCAGGACACGGCTGGACACTTGATTCGAGTTTATCCTGTAATAAACCCCTTTTGAACCAATCCACCTCCTTCCATTGACTGACGGTACTTGTAAAAACGCACTCGTGTAAGTGAAGTGTTTTTCGTTGGATAGGGGGCACGAAGATTTGAAATAGCAAGTCATAGTTGTAAGGTCGCTATCCATCTGAGGGTACATAAACATGTGACTGGCTGTGACATCAATTACAGAGTGTGTACACGTACAAGTTGGATCACCTTTGACTATATGCAACACCAGGTCATTTCGACTGGTTTTTGTATATTGAGAAAGCTTAACCATATACATGCAGGTTACACTGGACCCACGTTTAGCAGAGATATGTTATGATTCTGGCTTCTTATAATTTTGAAAAGGACTTTTTTTGTAGATATCATTAGTATGACTATTATTTTTTACTTTTATGACAACACTAAGTTTGTTGGTAGCCGTATGCAAAAACCGTCTGCATGGGGTCTGCAAATATTTCAAACAGATAGTTTTGATCTGCTTTTCAAATACAATTGTAGAGGAGTGTGTCCGTGTATACATTTGTGTTTGTCTATAATAGTGTAATTTATGTTTTTGTTTGTTTTAGAATTCATCTGTGATGCAGTATACCTCAGTGTGGATCCATACATGAGGTTAGCTCGAGATTGACCTCAGTTTTCTCAAAATGCTTATTAAATTGGATTAGACTACCCAATGATTGAAATAGGGTCATCTGCTTTGGAAAGTCGAATCTACAGCATAGGTTTCATTACGCATGAAGAGACGATATGCCAGGTCGTTAATAAACCAAATGTGTTCCTGTGTCTGGAGCCTTCTGTGCATATGGCTAAACATACATACTTCAGAACCTCACCCTCATCGTAGTTGTTTTCACTCCGTTTTTAGGGCGTTTGATTTGCCTGTCGGGAGATGTATCATGGGCGAACAGGTAGCGAGGTAAGCGGCAAGGTGACCTCTTCAGTTATATTGCTTAGGATTCTTGAACATGTTTATATGCATTCGATTATACGCATATGCTAACATTATACAATTATAGACTCTTGTAGAGGTCGATATCGGTTTTTATTGACCTGAGTAAAACAATATCGACCGAGCTTGCGATATCGACCTCTACAAGAGTCTGTAATTGTTTTATTATATAATGAAAGAGAAACGGGTTTTAACATAAACTTTTAATGCACACACTGTGCCATCTATCCGAGTGATCTGATTGGCTGAAAAGCGGGGGAAGCCGCTTCGTACGGGATTCCTTGTCTATTTTTAGTAACCCAAGTCAATATCGTAATTTATCAGAAAACTCAAGTCAATATCGTGTTTTGTAGTCAATCATGTGACGGTCTTTTGACCAATCGTGGTACAGGAAAAATACTACCTATATAAAAAATAAGTATAAACATATGTAGTTTTGTATAATACTTAGTATGCTCGTGCAGTGTCAGTTAACTACACGTCGGAATCCCCAGATACAGTTCAGTTAACTATTAACCCATTCAACACCGCAGGCCGAATAATCGGCCACGACGTCATAAGTCCCCATAAGACCGATTAATCGGCCTAGCAGTAGTCACGTCAAAATGAGAAAATTAAATAAATAATTTTAGGAACCTACCTGTCATATGATTCATGTATTAAATCTATCACTTTTCACATTGTCGGAAAACACTTATTACATTTCAATTGACTGACAGAATTAAAATTCTAAACAAATTTTCGTAATGTTATTGAAAATAATGATTCTCGGGCAACGGGTCCACAATAATATTGTCAAAGAACAAATTTAAAGTAACGATGTTTCGAGGAAATCATTCAATAAATTGAATAAACTAATGAATAAAATGAACCACAGTATTCATAAAAGTTGTCAAACGTGTTTCTAAGTTACATCTTTTCGTGCGATCATGTAATGTAAGTCTAGAGACATCTGAGCTTTCGTCACCTCAATCTTCACGCTCGGGAACGATGTTTAGTGCTAAAGTATACTCAAGCCAATAATGGTTGTCACCCCTTCAATTTTTTTAATTAGAGAGGGGTCGTGGGCTGGGGGTGTGAGGTGTGTGTGGGATTGGGGTGGGGAGGGGGGTGACAACCATTATTGGCATGAGTATATATGCATGAAGCATTTTTGTCACAGGTACCAACCTAGCACGATACTTCCAATAAGTTCCATAATTTACGTATAGGTGTCCATTTCTTGCTTAACACGTTCAGAATAGCATTATTTTACCCAAAACGTTCGTCTAAAGCTAAAATTTTCGTTTACGAGGACGGTATCCATTGCTGTAATATGATTGGTTGCCTTAGGTCACGTGCAAGATTTTGACCAAACACGATCTTTATGCAAGACTGTTGCAAAAACAACAACAACATCATTAGACACCAATCATTATCCAATAAAATCGCTTCTTACAACTGTTAGAAGGTAAGGTAAGGCAAGGGTACAGTGACATTGTTGATGTTCAGAGCTTCCGATCGATACCCATCGTCAAATGAATCGCTTCGCATGTTAGTCATATGAGGTTTTGATTACGGAGGTATTTCCCGCTGTTGTGTCATGTTACCGAGCGGAAAGCCACTGATCACATCGGGAAATAGGCGACCATATATATTATTTAAAAAATCTTTTTGCAATAAGTTCCCGATTACAGTAAACATGAAAAATATAAAAGGAAAGGGCATGAGGATATCATGGATGTCACGAAAGGAAAAAAATTGCCGCAGTTTTCACTTCCTTCGTGTTTTTTATCTTGACATTTTAAATGTGTAAAATTGCATTTTCATTAAAAATATACGTATTTAAGTTGTAGTTGTTTTATTTGAATAATATGATAAAAATAAGTTTCATAATTATCAACAGTAGGAATAGACTTTTCACATGGTGTATGAGATGTAGTATCACATAACGTTTTACAAGCTGATATTTTCCTTGATAAACATATAGGTTTCATCTATGACCATAGAGTCTCTGGGAAATAGGCGTCATGGGAGTAAAAGTTTCTGGTTGACTGGTGTTGAAAGAGTTCAGCATTTGTTCCCCAGGGTGTCAGAGAGTAAAATCAAGCACTACCCCGTCGGATGTCTGGTGCAGATGTACTCGGGGTGGCGTTCACGTTCACTGATCAACGCCACAAATAGAAAGGACACTGAAGAAATTCATCTTCTCAAAGTCCCCGACCTGGGAAAACTAGAACCCTCCCTCGCACTGGGAATCTTGGGTATGCCAGGGTAGGTGTTTAAGTCGTTGAGTGTTCTCAGAAAAAGGAACTAGGTGGTATGTCAATCAATTACATGTGATGCAAGTGAATGAATCCTGCTTTGGAAAGTCGAATCTACAGCATAGGTCTCATTACGCATTAGGGAGACGATATGCCAATTCGTTAATAAACCAAATGTGGTCCTGTGTCTGGAGCCTTCTGTGCATATGGCTAAACATACATGCTTCAGAACCTCACCCTCATCGTAGTTGTTTTCACTCCGTTTTCAGGGCGTTTGACGTTTGCCTGTCGGGAGATGTATCATGGGCGAACAGGTAGCGAGGTAAGCAGCTAGGTGACCTCTTCAGTTATATTGCTTAGGATTCTTGAACATGTTTACATATAACATTCGATTATACGCATATGCTAACATATAAGTATATCGAACATTGTAGTTTTGTATAATACATGGTGCCATGCTCGTGCAGTGTCAGTTAAGACTAGTAACCCAAGTCACGTCAGGAATCCCCAGATACAGTTCAGTTAACTATTAACCCATTCAACACCGAATCCCCAGGCCGAATAATCACCGCAGGCCGGAATAATCACGACGTCATAAGTCCCCAGACACGGGGAGACCGATTAATCGGCCTACAGCAGTAATAGTCACGTCAAAATGAGAAAATTAAATAAATAATTTTAGGAACCTACCTCTCATATGATTCATGTATTAAATCTATCACTTTTCACATTGTCGGAAAACACTTATTACATTTCAATTGACTGACAGAATTAAAATTATAAACACATTTTCGTAATGTTATTGAAAATAATGATTTGCGGGCAACGGAGTCCACAATAATATTGTCAAAGTAACGATGTTTCGAGGAAATCATTCAATAAATTGAATAAACTAATGAATAAAATCAACCACAGTATTCAAAAGTTGTCAAACGTGCATCTAAGTTACTATTTCCGATCTAATGTAAGTCGTGCGATCATGTCAATGTCAAGCTCGGGAACAAGTGACATCTGGGCTTTCGTCGCTTCAATTTTTCAACGATGTTTGGGATTGGTGGGGAGTGGGGTGACTAAAAGCATGAGTATATGCATGAAGCATTTTGTCACAGGTCATAACCTAGCACGATACTTCCAATAAGTTCCATAATTTACGTATAGGTGTCCATTTCTTGCTTAACACGTTCAGAATAGCATTATTTTACCCAAAACGTTCGTCTAAAGCTGAAAATTTTCGTTTACGAGGACGGTATCCATTGCTGTAATATGATTGGTTTGCCTTAGGTCACGTGCAAGATTTTGACCAAACACGATCTTTATGCAAGACTGTTGCAAAAACAACAACAACATCATTAGACACCAATCATTATCCAATAAAATCGCTTACAACTGTTAGAAGGTACTCTCGGCAAGGGTACAGTGACATTGTTGATGTTCAGAGCTTCCGAACGATACCCATCGTCAAAATGAATCGCTTCGCATGTTAGTCATATGAGGTTTTGATTACGGAGGTATTTCCCGCTGTTGAGTCATGTTACCGAGCGGAAAGCCACTGATCACATCGGGAAATAGGCGACCATATATATTATTTAAAAATCTGTTTTGCAATAAGTTCCTGATTACACAAACATGAAAATATAAAGGAAAGGCAGGGCTTGAGGATGTCACGAAAGGAAAAAAATTTTCACAGTTTTCCCTTCCTTCGTGTTCTTTATCTTGACATTTTAAATGTGTGAAATTGCATTTTCATTAAAAATATACGTATTTAAGTTATAGTTGTTTTATTTGAATAATATGATAAAAATAAGTTTCATAATTATCAACAGTAGGAATAGACTTTTCAAATGGTGTATGAGATGTAGTATAACATAACGTTTTACTAGCTGATATTTTCTTCAATAAACATATAGGCTTTATCTATGACCATAGAGTCTCTGGGAAATAGGCGTCATGGGAGTAAAAGTTTCTGGTTGACTGGTGTTGAAAGAGTTCAGCATTTGTTCCCCAGGGTGTCAGAGAGTAAAATCAAGCACTACCCCGTCGGATGTCTGGTGCAGATGTACTCGGGGTGGCGTTCACGTTCACTGATCAACGCCACAAATAGAAAGGACACTGAAGAAATTCATCTTCTCAAAGTCCCCGACCTGGGAAAACTAGAACCCTCCCTCGCACTGGGAATCTTGGGTATGCCAGGGTAGGTGTTTAAGTCGTTGAGTGTTCTCAGAAAAAGGAACTAGGTGGTATGTCAATCAATTACATGTGATGCAAGTGAATGAATCATTTTTGTGGTGTCAGTGAATCGTTTACTGTCATTATAGTCCGTTTGACTTCATTTTGGACCGATGAATTGCTCACTAACACAAAATCTAATAATTGCAACAAAACCAAATTTTGCACAGTCACATGAAATCAACAGACAAACTGTGACGATTTGTCTCAAAATTTTGGACACCCGAATAAAAAAGTTGTTTAACAAACGATCATTTAATTTTGTTGTTACTTTTCGCTATATTGAGGGAGGACCAATTGCTGGTAGAACAGCCAGGTAATCAACACGGGTGTGCAGTGCAATTTTAATTTCACACGTACAACTCGCACACCAGGCTGTTCTACTAGCAGGTGGTTCTCCCTCGTATGAAATAGCGAAAGTGATAACAAAATAATGATCGTTTGTTAAACAACCTTTTTTTATTCGGGTGTCCAAAATTATGAGACAAATCATCAGAGTTGGTCTGTCGATTTCATGTGACTGTGCAAAATTTGGTTTTGTTGTAATTATTAGATTTTGTGTTAGTGAGCAATTCATCGGTCTAAAATGACGTCAAACGGACTATAGCTATCGCGTCAGGGAATTGGGTGTTCTGTAAGTTTATTAAAAATTAGGTTTGATGAAAGTATATTAGATATGGTTGTGATTTCAGTTGTATGTGAAATACTATTTAAAATGAGCGAGTGTGGGACTATCTCTAAACATCCAGCAACATCATAAATATATCACAGCATCTTTAGATAGAGTCTAGACAAACCGATGGTTGATATTATGAGAAACATCCAGTATCGAAGAGTACGATGACGTCCAGTTATTCCTCAGTGTTGATATCAATGAATGCGTCACTTCAACTGTATTTTGACTGCGGGAATATCCCCATGTTTGGATATTTTGATTGAGCGACTGCAACATTTCAGGATGACTGCCTACTTTGGGTTCCTGGAGCTCTGTCAGCCAAAGGCTGGAGACACTGTACTGGTCAACGGTGCCGCGGGGGCGGTGGGCAGTGCTGTCGGACAGATCGCCAAGATCAAGGTGAGAATATATTACATAATTAATATATCGTGAATAAATACTACTGGATCTATTGATGAGCATTCAATGTAATGTTAATGATGTTGTAACAGGTTTATATTTAGTGTACGAGACAAACTACACACAACAACTCTGAAAATGTATATGTGATCCTTCAAAATCAGCAATCTCACCACCCTACCGCCCCACCACCCCAGCCCCTCACCAGCTCGACCCCTACCTTACTTCTTAATCACTGGGACGACCCACCCCTGATGATCATTCGCCTCACGCCAACCAACCATATGACTGGTTTGACCCACTGCGATAGTCCGTATGCACTCAGACCGTTGCAGTCTACCATAATTTGTATATTGTTATTTTTTTACGCCAGGAATGCACGTGTGAGGTTAGGCTGACTTCTGATATTAAGTTGGTAATATAAGTAATAATTATTTGTAATTTACATAAACTCTTAACATTGTTCAGCAGATGGTATTAAACAAGCAGAAAACTGTTTAAGATGAAAACCAATTACAAATGCGTTTTCTAGGGATGCAAAGTGATTGGTTTTGCTGGATCAAAGGAGAAATGTGATTGGGTGAAGAGTCTTGGATTTGATCACGTGTTCAACTACAAGGAACAAGACATCGACAAGTCCCTGAAAGAGGCGGCCCCCGACGGAATTGACTGCTACTTTGATAACGTACGTACAACAAGCACTTATTGTGAACATGACGTACGTACAACTGCCTCCAACTGCCAACATACTGTACGTGCAACACCCATCTTTTGTCAACATACTCTACGTTAAACATCCATCTTTTGTCAACATACTGTACGTACAACACCCATCTTTTGTCAGAATACTGTACGTACAACACCCATCTTTGTCAACATACTGTACGTATAACACCCATCTTTTGTCAGAATACTGTACGTACTGAACACCCATCTTTTGTCAGCATACTGTACGTATAACACCCATCTTTTGTCAACATACTGTACGTACAACACCCATACTGTCTTTTGTCAACATACTGTACGTACATCACACCCATCTTTTACTTACATCAACCCCACCCAACATACTGACTTTCATCACCCACCCACTGTCAACATGTGTACTTACATCATACTGTACGTACATCACCCACCCACTGTCAACATACTGTACTTACATCACCCACCCACTGTCAACATACTGTACTTACATCACCCACCCACTGTCAACATACTGTACTTACATCACCCACCCACTGTCAACATACATGCATCACCACCCACCCTGTACTTTCATCACATACTGTCAACATACACTGTACTTACATACTGTTACATCACCCACCCACTGTCAACATACTGTACTTGTCACATACTGTACACATCACCACCCACTGTCATACTGTGTACATTACACTGTCAACTGTACTTTACATCACCACATCACCCACCCACTGTCAACATACTGTGTAGACCCACTGTACATACACCCACCCACTTTCAACATACTGTACTTACATCACCCACCCACTGTCAACATACTGTACTTACATCACCGACCCACTGTCAACATACGTACAATGCTTACCCACTGTTACATAATTAAATACAACCCTTGATGGCTAAAGATGACACGTTACTGGAAACCAGGGTTAAACAGTAACTGAGCAGTTGAAGAGGAGGAGGATTTGAAATCTAGGTTGGGTATTGTTATGGGCAGTAGAGGACCGAATTAGAACACTATTTGGAAAGTAGGAGACATGGCTTGTTCACTAATTGTGCGGATAAAAACATGTCCTGGCAACCACCAGGTCGAGGAAGACATGTGGAAGCATGAGCGTCCAACAGGGAAATATGATATTGGTTTGCACTGATTTGGTAGTAGCCTGGATTGTTAATAATTGGATCACATACATCATACGATTGATGGTATCACCGAGGGCAGTAGACCATCCTCCAGTACATAGAGATACACTTTTGCAGGTTGGAGGAACTTTCACGTCTAAAGCTCTTCAACACATGAAAATGTTTGGTCGAATGTCTGTTTGTGGTTGTATCTCAGTCTACAATACCACACAGCCACCTCTCAGTAAGTATCCGGTGATAATAGTTTTGGCTTCAAAATAATCAATAATATAATAAAATATCATTTCATATAAAATATCAATAATATGATATGATGTTGTTGAATAATACAAAGAATAATTGGCTCATGTGCAGACCACTTTTATTAACTGTATATTGACTAGATTCTGAAGTATGATATATGTTGCCCAGATATATCATCACTGGTGGTATCTGCACAATAACCAATATCCAGCAATCTTATATCTCTTTATTTTACATGTTATAGATTTCCTGCTATCCAATATTACCTGCATGCTTTAAATTTGTGTTGAATATAACCCATGTGTTATATTTCAACAGTAGAATCGACCAAATTGAGCTGATATGAAGAGAAACCATTATATCTTACGAATCTCCTATTTTCGGCTGTACATCCATAAGTTTATTGTGTCCATTCACAGCTCCAGATCCGCTCATGACGATCCTATACAAACAACTTAGAGTTGAAGGCTTCGAGGTGTTGCGATGGGAGACTAGATTTCCGGAAGGCAAAGCTCAAATGAAGAAATGGATAGATGAAGTAATCGCTATCTATATGTATATTCACATTACAATTCCGTTCGCTCATCATAGATTACTTTTGCAATTACTCAGAACGTTTCCTGGTTGTAGGGGAAAACCTTTCATTATTTTCAATAATTCTCTTGAAATAGATGCAATTCGTTCCTATCATATTAGTAAAGCTCCATCAATTTTGACAGCCGAGTTGCAGTGAAGGTTTTTTACCTTGAACTCCACGAATCCCATGCATCGTTTATTGCCATAAAGTTTACGTGTCGTTGAAGACCATGTCACTTTATGCCACCAGCAGATCCTGACGGTGGTCTCTGTTCTTACGCTTTGGTTATGCCGATCGTTTCCTTGACATTTAGTTAATACGTCTTCACGTAACAAACAATTCGTTTGACCTCCTCTCTATAGTTTGTAATATCATCATGGTTCTGATCACGTTGAAGAAGTTCTTTCACATTGCATTCTATTCCAGGGAAAGGTCAAGTACAGAGAGACGGTCCAAGATGGTTTCGACAACATGCCCAAGATCTTCATGTCGCTCTTGAAAGGAGCCAACATTGGGAAGATGATCGTCAAAGCTTAGATAAACAGACAGGTCGCTGAGTGTTTGTAGTTCAGTCCCTTGAATTTCAGGTTTATGATAGATCCATTTATGCAATATGTTAGCTGTGTGATTGGTTTGTACAGATCTGTTGCTCAAGAAACATTTTAATAAGATCTGCAATCCATACATCAGTTGACAGGCAAACTTTTGTAGTACGTGTCTTTGAAACCGTGCCATCTGCAGCAAACAAGCGCTGTCATATATACGTTCTCTAGTTCTCAAATGACTAATTACATATATCTGTATACATAATGTAGTAGCTCTGTTTGCTTCGCTCTTATTTACTCCCGGTACCAGGACCTGCAGCTGGTTGATCTCATCTATCAAAGATGACGGAAAAGGTGGTTTTGTTTGTAGTGACACTCCGATCCCAGTGAAATCGGAGCAGCCAAGTGGTTTGAGCGTTTGCCCGATTTCCTCTAATGTGTAGAATGTGTTCTGGTGTACCCCACCCTGAGTTTGATTGATCATTGCTACGAACGGTGAAGAACAGTTCTAAATCACCCGTGCATCTGTAACAGGCGATTTGCTAAAGACAATCAGAGATAAATGTGTATGTGCGCTAATCGATCTTGATCATTTACAAGTCATGTGTGTCAAGAGTGAAACACTTTCTATTAACGTGCATCGGTTTGCACCAACACACTTGTCCTTGACTTGCGTGCACTGACTTGCGTTCACCCACGTATTGTCCGGTAACGCCCGGTACCTTGTAATGTTTTAGTATATCAACATGCATTGGGAGTGGGCAGATATGTTTTCCACGGACTTGAAGTAACACCTCTTTCCTTGTGGCTCTTGTACGAAAACGTGGCGACCGTAGATACAGCTGAATATCTGTCCTCAGGCGTTCGGGGAAATTTGCCATCCAGAGGTTTACTGAGAAAACAATATGTGACTTCCTCCTATATGACATCTATGTGTAATTTAGGGGTAAGACATTTAGGCAAGATGCATGCATTCTCGTGGGTATCAACTATGCTACCCTTCTTGCTGACCTGCATATGAATCGAAATGTTTGCTCAGATTAGCAACGTCTAAACAAGGTAGTTTGATCAAGAAGCTTTAACTTACGTTTCATATGCATTGTATATCCATGATCTGATATCGCTGATACCATGAAATAGTCATTTCCCTTCAATCGACTTACAAACCTGAATAAAGGCGACCAATGAGATTACCTGGTCTGTTGCATTTTTTAGGTCTGTGCTTAAAGATTCAGAGTGATCTTTTGAAAGTGGAGGAGAATTCAACTTTCGAATAGTCAACCATTCCTTTGTGTCGTGCACTATTCCAAAATGTCCAACCTCCCAACTTCTCGGTACAACCAAGCATGATCTTTGTAAATATTTTAAAGATCGTCACATGACTCTCGCTCATGAGTTGTCAGATCAAAGCTACAGCATTCAGGGTACCACGCCAACCTGAGAAACATTTCAGTTTACGGCGGGGAATGGATTCGAACCCATATCTTCGGTGTGACAAACGTTTACCGACTTACGTTCCCTGCCTTCAGCAGGCACAGACGATGGATCGGGTCTGTGGTTTACAAGACATATTCATCCCTGCGAAATAGGATGTATTGAAATTAACAACACCTGGCGCACACGTGTCGGATTACTATAGGCTAAACGGGTATATGCACATATAGCTGTATTCCAGCTATATGGCTGCGGTCTGTAAATAATCAAGTCTAGATCAGACAATCCAATGATCAACAGCATGAGCATCGATCTACGCAACTGGGACACGATGACATGAATGAACCAAGTCAGCGAGCCAGACCACCCTATCCCAATAGTCGCCTCTTACTACAAGCATGTGGTGCTGAAGATCAATACTAACTTGGGCCGCGTATGTTTGTTTCGCGTTTTTAGACCATGGAAGAGGGTTAGTAAAGCATTCACCATAAATAGAAGGATGTAATTTTAATAAAACGACCAAACCCCATTCATTTTTTCGATTCCAACTGTATCATGTGCAGGTGTTTTCCTGGAATTTGGTAACTAATCAATGAATGAAACAATAACGAAAAGAGCTTAAAATGCCCTTAAACAGACTGATGACAGTTTCTGACACTCCATGGTCACTGATTACCTTTATTAGGTTCTAATAAATACTGTTGAGCAATTTGTTCATATATGTATTTTTAAATTCAATGTCTTACTTCTTCGTACGAAATCGAATCATTTTGAAATATTACATAATATGTACTACTTTTTGTATGTAATGTTTTGGCTCAATAGTTAGGAGAATATAACACTATAATCGCTTAGTATCCCTCTGTAATGCACGGTTGAGCTTCATTTACCTTTGTACACAATATACCAATCTTTTGTTGATGATATAGGTAAATATAGTTAGCCGAACGCTATTCAGGTGTGTATTACCTCTGTAGTCTGTACTATTGATCAGATCACCGTGTTAATGTGCTGGTATGGACCCACTGACAAGGACTTAGGGAACTTCCGTTTTCTAGTATCACATTTAACAGTTAGATAGTACATGTACGAGTTAAGGAAGTAATCGATATGAATGTTCCAAGGCAAATGCTGTCTATACCAGGTGATCTGCCACATTTAAAAATGTTGTATACTTTTCAGTATCTCATCCTTCCATATGGGTGAAATCAGCTACATCAAGATTAGTTTGTGTTGTGTTTTCAGGTTATTGAGCCTGTGGAGTCATAATCAACATGGACGAATAAACACGTATATGTCTTCTTCTCAAGACAAGCCAACATCCTTAGATATTGTGTTCTCTTCAGCATCAAGCCATCTCTATGCTAAGTTTCTTCAACTTTTCAATACAGTTTGTTCTTTTTACCTCGGAATCGGCTACACTAAAACCTACACAATAAACGCACTACCTTTGTCAATATTTGAAAATGCTGTGTCAGCAGTTTCAGGTATCAATTCTAAATGAACATTCCATCTAAATTGCTGAAACATGTGACAACCCCGAACATAATTAACTTTTTATGATCGCTCTCGCCATCGCACGAACAATCCAGATCGTTGAAGGTATGGCGAGTTTATGCGCACCTGACGCATCCACCCGACCTTTGGACGCATGTGTTGCCGGGACGCTCTACGTCAGTATAATTGATGTGTCATTACCCTGGCTCAGTACGTATATATAGCTGAGGGAACACGGGTGAGCAGGGTCACATCACAATGGTCAAGGCAAAGAAGTGGATACTTGCTACAGAGTTTGCTGGAGAGCCAAAGGACTCCAACTTCAAGCTCGAAGAGGAGAACCTGCCTGCGTTGAAAGATGGAGGTGAGAATATGTCGTAGTGATGTTTTTAGATCTCCCACGTACATCATAACGACATATTGTGTTGGGTTAGGGTGAAGATAACTTTGAAAGAAGATACCCATGTTGTAGAAATGCCTTGTGCCATTCATCGCCAACGACGTCCCTTTACTGCACATACATTATTGGTTACAATTTTGTATGTGAGTTACTTCATTATTTGAGCAGAATGTGTCCATAATGACGTCGACATGTCCTGAATATTGAACCGAAAAATTCCCTCTGCAACTACCACAACTACATGGGATTGATATTTCTATGTATTTCACGATTAAGTTAAGATAGTGTTGAGTCTGGTGTAGAAAATATCAATCACGCACCCAATTCATATGTATCATTTAATGATAGGTGATTTAGGTGAATCACTGTCATGCAACCAGAAGCAAGGTTTTCAAGCATTCATGTTTCTAATATCTCACAGATGTGTCACTGTTCCCTTAAATCACTCACCTGGAAAGTCTTTACAATCACCCGAACACGGGTACACATGCACCTGTGCAGCGTACCATGTGACCAGCCCCACACCAATAAAACATCCTCGTCCGTGACCTGGCTGGACGGCTTGAAATCGCTTAACAGATAGCTCATCGCCCCAGTGTATGCTCTAGTCATAGGACACAGCTCGGCACTTGACTCGAGTGTAGGTTCAACATTAGCCCGTCGCCAATTCACCTCCTTCGATAGACTGGAGGTATTTGTATAAACGTACTCGTGTAAATAAAGTGATTCTCGCTGGATACAAGGTACGGAGATTGAAATAGTCAAAGTTGTAATTTCACCGTCCATTTGGGGTTACATAACCAAGTGACAGGCTGAACTTCATAGAACTCTCCCCGTTGTTCAAGTGACAGGCTGTTACATCAATTAAAGAGTGTGTACAATGTCCGACTCTATGTATCACCAGTTCATTTCGTTTATTTTGTAAATATTTCTCTCCAAAATATCTGAAACATAAGCATTACATAAAATATCCAGTAACTAAATATTCTACTTCATTGTGCATATTATTGATACATGTATATAGTTTGTTTTTGGCATAACATTAGATATTTTACCTTTTAAGAGGTCCGTTTCAGGGGGAAAACTGCGGTCTAGTTGAATCGATAAAGGGGTACATATAAAGTTAAAATGAATGACACATTACTTTATTTACATACAAAGTCACCACTCGTGACCTTCCCCGCTTCCTTATTCTTGGAGAAAAATGGCTAAATAGACGGATCTGAAGAAGTACTTTGAATTGATCTAATTTAAAATCCTTTAATATTGTTTCACTTGCATATTAGGTATACTTTTTATATTCTATAAACATGCATTACCGCGTGTGTATTGTACCCTTTAAAATAGTATTAACACAGACTGTAATGGACGAGAACATGTTTTGTCAGACGTCCGTCCACGCGCCGTCTCTTTCACAGTGTAGTTGTATCATCTGACCCACGGTGAAACATTGATCTGTTTTCTTGTCATTAAAGTGATGCGTGGCTTTGATCATGACATCAAATGTACACGCACTTCACAAACAAAATTAGCTGTAAAATGTTGTTTTGTTTTTATTGAACATTCGTTTGAGAAAGCTTATGCATTCAAATGTCGGTTACATTAAGGGTAACCGTTGGCAGAGGTATCTTATGATTCTGGTTTCTTACTATTTTGAAAAGGGCTTTGTTTTGTAGACATATGTTTTACGATGTACAAATTAGGAATGGACATGATAGGGACGTGTTTGGGGAAAACACTCTTTCCACATCCATAAAAAAAGACTCTTTTAAAAGCAGAGTCTATTTACAATTTAAGCCATATATTCGACTTCTGACAACAACAATCTTTAGGTAACAGTGTGCCAAAATTGTATAGAAGGACTGGTAATCGTGCACATAGATAGTTTAGATCAGCATTACAAATAAAATAATAGAGAAATTTGTACGTGTATTTGTGTTTGGCTGTATTCATGTAATGTATGTTTTTGTTTTGTTTTAGAAATCATCTGTGATGCTGTATATCTCAGTGTGGACCCATACATGAGGTTAGATCGAGATTGGATTAACTTTTCTTAAAATGGTCTCATTAAATTGGATTCAACTACCCCTTTATTGAAATACTAAATTCTCCTTTAAGTCGAACGTACAGGACAAATCTCTAGACACGTGAAGAGCCTGCATGTCATGTGGATAAACTTGACGTGTTGCCGTGAACAAGGCTAAGCGTGCCTATCTCTTAACATACATACTTAGTACCTCACCGTAATTTTGGATTTGGTTTCATTCCGTTTTCAGGGGGGCGGTGGGTAGCCTAGTGGTTAAAGCGTTCGCTCGTCACGCCGAAGACCCGGGTTCGATTCCCCACATGGGTACAATGTGTGAAGCCCCTTTCTTGTTTCCCCCGCCGTGATATTGCTGGAATATTTCTAAAAGCGGCGTAAAACCATACTCACTCACTCACTCATTCCGTTTTCAGGGCGCATGTTTTTCCTGTCGGGAGCGTCATCATCGGCGAACAGGTAGCGAGGTAAGCACATTGATGATCTTTCTAAATTAGTTATATTGGTGAGGATTCTTGAACATGTTTATACCCATGTGGTTGTTAACACATATGATAATACGTCGGTGTAGGGAAATTGGAAAATGCATTTGATAAGTTCATTGGTATATACTTATTGCGAATATGCATATAACTATATACATATAACTGTATGTATTGTTATATGTGATGAGATGATGAACAGTACAGATATACGGTCAAACACCATTGTGGCGAAATTGAACTGAAGTATGTAAATACTTCGAGTTATCCGAATTTGAACACATGCCGAACATATTTAAAGACGGCATAAAAGGGATCATGCTTTGTAAGTCAACCATAATCTCAAAGCATCAAAGTTCAGACCTGGGTTCGATTCCCCACATGGGCACAATGTGTAAATCCCATTTCTGGTGTCCCCCGCCGTGATATACCTGGAATATTGCTAAAGCAGCGTAAAACATCACTCACTCACTCATCCACATATGGACCGATATCATTAATTATCAGTATCACTTGGATTTCTACATTTGGCAGTAGGAGACCGGGGTTTGATACTACATGTAACTGTTCAGGAGACAATGATAGGGCCTTTATACATTAGGGCTTTTTCATCACGTACGTGTATGCATCACTTCCATCTCTTGCGCATCAAATGATGTCATTTATGCTGCATGTGGAAGAGTCGAAGAATATTGACGGGCCACAGTGTCAGTTGAGACTATAAGTCGGAATACCCAGATACGGTTTAGTTAACTATTCACCAATTGTTTCCAGGGTGACGGAGAGTAAAAGCAAGGACTACCCCGTCGGATGTCTGGTGCAGATGTACTCGGGGTGGCGTTCACGTACACTGGTCAACCCTGCAAATAAAACTGCAACTGAAGCCATTCATTTTCTCAAAGTCCCCGACCTTGGAAAACTGGAGCCATCCCTCGCGCTGGGAATCTTGGGCATGCCAGGGTAGGTGTTCTCATCAACAGTGGATTGGGTGGATGGTCCATATGTTATGGGTGGTTGCACTATGGTACGCTGCACCGTTACCTTTATTACGTAATGGACTGATCCAAATTTATGGATAATGACTTTATTCAGCATGTCTCCAACAAATAAAGATAATTTAACGAGGATGTTTGGAAGTACAAAATGATCTAATTCAGCAGACTAAGCCATATATGTATACGAATATTTTAAGCTGGGCGGGAGAGCAGCGCCAACGTTGATTTGGTGGAGTTTGGCAGTTTATTGCATTCCTCCTAGGGCGTGGGTGTAGAGGAAATCGGGCCCCATTGTCATGATCAAAGTGAACATTATGAAAGCAAACTGAGAGAAGTCATAATCCTGTTTTGATCAAAGCAACGTTATGAAAACAAACTGAGAGAAGCCGGTGATTGAGTAAGTCTTAATTGGCATGTCTGACAAATGGGATGTCTAACTTATGGGGGTATACGGTGTCTTCCCATTATAACTACTCCCAGTATGACTACTCCCAGTTTGACTACTCCCATTATAACTACTCCCAGTATGACTACTCCCAGTTTGACTACTCCCAGTATGACTACTCCCAGTATGACTACTCCCAGTATGACTACTCCCAGTTTGACTACTCCCAGTTTGACTACTCCCAGTATGACTACTCCCAGTAGTTTGACTACTCCCAGTTTGACTACTCCCAGTATGACTACTACTCCCAGTTTGACAGTATGACTACTCCCAGTTTGACTACTCCCAGTTTGACTACTCCCAGTATGACTACTCCCAGTTTGACTACTCCCAGTTTGACTACTCCCAGTATGACTACTCCCAGTTTGACTACTCCCAGTTTGACTACTCCCAGTTTGACTACTCATGAACATAAACATATAATGGAGCACCCCTACACTTAATAATGTACTGTACCTGTGTTGCTGATTACTCCCAGTTTGTCTGCTCTTTGAAATATACCTATTAGGGAGACTCCCAGGGACTACCGGTATTTGAATCATTAGAAGCTAAGTGAGTTACTAGTATTAAAACATTGAACAACGTTGGTTTATGGGAGTTAACCTTCTCATCAACAGTGAATTAAGCGGATGGTCCATAAATTAGGTGTTCTCTTAAAAACTGAATTAAGTGGTATGTCAAAACATTACATGTGATGCAAGAGTTAGTGAATGAACTATTTGTGATGTCATGAATTAGGTGTGGTGTCAGTGAAGAGTTTCAGTGTCATAAGCTATGTCAGTGGATTAGGTCTTCAGTCAATATATTAAAAATGACTCAAATGAATGCTTTGATCAGATAATTTTTTATGATGTCTGAAATTTCGGTTTCATGTGAAACAATATTGACAATGTGTGTGGATGAATGTTTTTTGTTTTTTCAACACATTAAGCAATATTCCAACTATATCACAGCCTAGATAACTATACAAACCAATGGTTGATATGATGACAAACCTCCAGTGTCGTCGATTACGTGAGTGCTGTTATCAATGAATGTACCACTTGAATGCTATTTGAACATCGTGAACATCCCCAGGTTTGACTTTAATTTTCATTTCATTGCAACATTTCAGGATGACTGCCTACTTTGGGTTCCTGGAGCTCTGTCAGCCAAAGGCTGGAGACACTGTGCTGGTCAACGGTGCCGCGGGGGCGGTGGGCAGTGCTGTCGGACAGATCGCCAAGATCAAGGTGAGAATATATTACATAATTAATATATAAGGAGGGGGCATTTTGTGATATAGCAATTTGCGCTCAGTGATCATGCAATTTTGGTTAGAATATACAAAAGTAGTTGGAAAATGGCATTGTACCAAACAACTATGAGAATGTATAAGCGACCACCTTACTACACCCCCTCGATCCCTACCTTACCTCTGGATCAACTGAGAGGAACCAAGAAACCTTCCATAGGATAGATCACCTGTCTTACGCCAACCAAACCATTTGACCAACTGCGATAATCATTGAACGTTGGGATTATTACAGTCGTCATTTGTATATTGTAACACACCAGCGGATGGTATTGAAACACGTACAAAACTGTTTCGGAAAACCATATTTAACTCTATTTTCCAGGGGTGCAAGGTGATTGGCTTTGCTGGATCAAAGGAGAAATGTGATTGGGTGAAGAGTCTTGGATTTGATCACGTGTTCAACTACAAGGAACAAGACATCGACAAGTCCCTGAAAGAGGCGGCCCCCGACGGAATTGACTGCTACTTTGATAACGTACGTACATCAATCACTTAGTGTGAACATGACGTACGTACAACGCCCATCTATTGTCAGTGTATTGTACCTACAACGGTTACCCACGGTCAACACTCTTTACGTACAACGCCCATCTATTGTCAGTGTATTGTACCTACAACGGTTACCCACGGTCAACACTCTTTACGTACAACATCCACCCACTGTCAACGCGATGAACGTACACCAAATACCTATTTTCAACATACTGTACATACAACACCCACACACGGTCAACATACCGTACGCACAACTCCCATCCACTGTCAACATACCGTACGCACGACTCCCATTCACTGTCAACATACCGTACGTACAACACCGACACAATGTCAACATACCGTACATACAACTCCCATCTACTGTCAGCATACCGAACAAACAACTCCCATCCACTGTCAGCATACCGTACATACAACTCCCATCCACTGTCAACCTACCGTACATACAACTCCCATCCACTGTCAACATACCGTACACACAACTCCCATCCACTGTCAACAAACCGTACGTACAACTCCCATCGACTGTCAACATACCGTACGTACAACTACCATCCACTGTCAACATACCGTGCGTACAATTCCCATCCACTGTCAACGTACCGTACGTACAACTCCCATCCACTGTCAACATACCGTACGCACAACTCCCAACCACTGTCAACATACCGTACGTACAACTGCCATCCGATGTCAACAAACCGTACACACACCTCCCATCTACTGTCAACATACCGTACATACAGCTCCCATCCACTGTCAACATACCGTACGTACAACTCCCATCCACTGTCAACATACCGTACACACAACTCCCATCCACTGTCAACATACCGTACACACAACTCCCATCCACTGTTAACATACTGTACAACTCCCATCCACTGTCAACATACCGTACACACAACTCCCATCCACTGTCAACATACCGTACACACAACTCCCATCCACTGTCAACATACTGTACGTACAACTCCCATCCACTGTCAACGTACTGTACACACAACTCCCATCCACTGTCAACATACTGTACGTACAACTCCCATCCACTGTCAACATACCGTACACACAACTCCCATCCACTGTCAACATACTGTACTTTCAACACCCATCCACTGTCAACATACCGTACGCGTAACTCCCACCCACTGTCAACATACCGTACGCGTAACTCCCACCAACTGTCAACATACTGTACGTACACCATCCACTGTCAACATACTGTAAGTACGGTGCTGTAGGAGACCAGGGTTGTTTGTTAAACAATGGGTCTGTCACCATTGGGTCCCGGAAGATCTGTGTTGTTAACTCACCGGGCAGAAAACCAACATGAGCCCCTACCAGCGAAATAGGTCCATGGTTGGCACAGATGTGGCAGTTTGAGACCTTTGTGTTCACAATCTGCAATCACTTACATCAATCAGGTGTTTTTGCAGGTGGGAGGAAATTTCACATCTAAAGCGCTTCAACACATGAAAGAGTTTGGTCGTATTTCTGTTTGCGGTGGTATCTCAGTCTACAATGCCACACAGCCACCTCTCAGTAAGTATCCGCTTATTACATTTCTAGCTTCATAACAACACACATTCATGTTTCCTTCCATACTATTTATTATTAATTTATTAAAATATGATATGATATTGTTGAAGAATACAAAATAAAACTGCCTCATATTTCCAACCAAGCCACAGCTTTATCCTATTTTTATCCCAGATATATACGATTAAATAAAACTAGGGGATATTCCATTTTGCGAGCATACCACTAGCCAATGCCAATGCATATGAGAAAAAGTAATTTATATCCATACAGATGAAACATTTCCAAATGGAATGGAATAAATTGTCACATTTTCCCTTCATTTCTCTTCATCATCTGTTTCCTCCTTGGCTTCATCATTTGCATTTTATCAATCTTGTAAATCCAATATCCCCTACTTTTTTTTAATGGTATATTATCACTGTGTGTACCCTCATACCGTGGTCGCCAAATTCCAGCATATTTATACCTATTATATATTTTATAAATACCATGTTTTCTAATACTACTTACACTCATTAATTTACTGTTTAATATAATTCGTACATTTTAGCATTATTTTAAACAATATAGCCCAAACTGAGCTGATATAAAGAGAAACCGCTATGTCCAACAAGTCTCCTATTTTCGCGTGTACATCCATAAGTTTATTGTGTCCGTTCTCAGCTCCAGATCCGTTCATGACGATCCTATCCCAACAACTTAAAGTTGAAGGCTTCATTGTGATGAGGTGGTGGACAAGATTTCCGGAAGGCAAAGCTGAAATGAAGAAATGGATAGATGAAGTAAATTCATAATACAACTCCGTTCATTTAAAAGTATTTTTACCATTACCTACACGTAGAACGATACGTGATTGTCGGGAGGTAACCGAGAAAAGAAACATTTGAGGTGGTGGACAAGATTTCCTGAAGGCAAAGCTGAAATGAAATGAAGAAATGGATAGATGGAGTTATCGCTATTCATTGTACATTTCCGTTCAGTTTACATATAATTTTAGTATTACCAAATAGAGGAAACCTTTTGTTATTTTCAATACGATTCTCTCGAAAAAGCTGCTATACAAGCCAAACATGTCAGTAAATCTCCATCCATTTTGAAGGCCAAATTGAAGTGAAGATTCGTTTCTTTGAACTCATTGGATTCCATATATCGTTATATGACTGTATGGAACCAGTAGACCTTCACTAAGGTTGTAGTCCTATTTTTACACTACATCTATTCCTATTGTTTTTCCCAGGCTTCCAGTTAATGATGTTTTATGGTTTGACCCCTTCTCCCTCAGGGGGTTATAGTGTATAATATAATAGTTTGTTAGTGTAATCTGTAATTCACGATTCTGATTATATTGCATATGCAATATTACAATATTGCAATATTTCTCATATTGGCATTCTATTCCAGGGAAAGCTCAAGTACAGAGAGACGGTCCAAGATGGTTTCGACAACATGCCCAAGATCTTCATGTCGCTCTTGAAAGGAGCCAACATAGGGAAGATGATAGTCAAAGCTTAGATAAACAGACAGATCACTGAGTGTCACTTATCTCAGTCCCACTTATCTCAGTCCCAATAACTCACCTCCATGCACAAATCATATACTCATTTAATGTTTATGATAGATGTATTATTGTGATATGGCAGCTGTGTGATAGTTATGTTCAGATCTGTAACTCAAGAAACATTTACAAGATCTGCAATCTACACATTCTGTACTTTGAAATATACGTCAGTCGACAGACATTCTTTCTGTCGTTTTTACTTTGAAACCATGACATTTGTAGCAAAAATGCGCAGTCAAATGTCCGTTTCCCTAGGTCTGAAATTAAATATCTAATAGACTTGTGTGTTTGGGTTTGCTTTATTTGCCTTCCTCTAGCTCCCTCCCGGCATCAGTAATGCGGCAAGTTGATGTAATCTATCAAAGTGGACGCAAAACGTGGGGTGTATGTTTGTACAGTGACACTGCATTCCGATCCCAGTGAAATGGGGTTATCGGAGCAGAGAAGTGGTGAACTGACCTGAAGTTCACCCACGTATTGCCCGGTAACGCGGAGTAGGCAGATGTTTTCCACAGACTTGGAGGAACACTTCTTTCCTTGTGATGTTTTAGTACATAAACATACATTGAGAGTTGGCATATCTGTTTTCCACAGACTTGGAGGAACACTTCTTTCCTTGTGATGTTGTAGTGCATCAACATGCATTGAGAGTTGGCATATCTGTTTTCCACAGACTTGGAGGAACACTTCTTTCCTTGTGATGTTTTAGTATATCAACATGCATTGAGAGTTGGCAGATCTGTTTTCCACAGACTTTGAGGAACACTTCTTTCCTTGTGATGTTTTAGTACATCAACATACATTGAGAGTTGGCAGATATGTTTTCCACGGAATCTGTTTTTCCACAGAATTGAAGGAACACTTCTTTCCTTGTGATATTTTGGTATATCAGCTTGTAATGGGGGTAGACAGATACATTTTCCACAGACTTGAAGGAACATGTCTTTCATTGATCCATGTGGCTCTTGTTAGAAAACGTGGTTACCATAGATACAGCTACATATCTGTCCTCAGACGTTCAGGACAATTTGCCATTCTGAAGTTTACTGAAAAAATAATATGTGACTTCCTCATAGAATACATCTATGTGGCATTTAGGGGTAAGACAAAATCTGGATATTATCATGGACACCATTTATGCTTCCCTTCTAGCTGATCGGTTTCATTTTGCAAATGAATCAAAATGTCAAAAAAGGTTAATTTAAGACTGTTTGACATTAGAGAACTCAGCTTTCGAATAGTCGCATATTCCTTTGTCGTGCACTATTCCAAAAGACAGCCTCCCAACTTCTATGCACAATCAAGCAAAATCTTTGTAAACATTTTAAAGATCGTCATACGAATCTCGCTCATGAGATGAGATCTTGGAGTCAACTTTGTGTGCAGACTCTTTCAGTGTTGTCACGGCCTCTAGTGTACAGTACATAGCCCATGTTTACTTAAAAACCCACGAATCCGTTGGTAAATGACCAGATGGTGGCCACACGAATGCGTGCTAACACCTAGTTGTGTGTACAGCAACGTGTAGTAAACCTGGACAAAGTACTATGACTATGTGTCCCAGTCCACCCTGCTGTGAATGGGTACGTCGTAAGGATTGGAAATCCACATTAACTTGGTATGCCTAATGGATGTACGAGTGTATGTGTTTATTCAGTAAGGGAACTACCGGGCCATTATACACATACATATCAGAAGGGTTTAAGATATGACATGAAGCGCCATAAAAGTAACGGAATGGATACAGAGGTGTAATTGTATACTGAGATGTGAACACAAGATCAGCATGATGCAAAATACTTCATATGTTTTTCCTCAGCTAAAGATAAAGGTTGTTTATGACAATATTACTTTGAGAAGTAAACAGTAGGGCTAACTTGTTTTCAGAAGGATATACATGATAAAAACGTTGTATGTGAGAGGCTCTCAGATCGTCATAGAATGGACATTCAAGGCAAAAATGGTATTCAGATTCGATCATAGGGATAACAGACAAGGGACACAAACGTCCGTTGCGTGGAAGATTTAAACGTCTTCCATATTCAATCATTAACATATGATTTGAACAGCGAAATCTACAAAGGGCAACGCAATATACCTTCACATTTACAGCACTAATGTAATATTCTTCTGACACAGTCATATTTATCAGTCTGAAAAAATCTAGTTTAGTATATTTATCAAGATCTGAGTCCCACCTTTGAAGATCAATATCAATACACCTCTGCTTAAACTGTATCAGGAAATTGTTTACATTTGTAGTTTGTTGATCAACCCAAACATTTCCGAAACCATAGCTGAAGAGAACTTTCTTAACTCTCAAAGCCCAACAATCAAGATTTTTTCAGCTAAACGATACTGATATTTATAAACTTTATACAAAATAATATTCTCATCTTGATTTATTAACCTAGTTCAGTATTTCACAATTCTATAGTAAGTATTAACCATAAGAATATCGACCTATTTCACAAAGTTCAATGATACTAGGAGTAGTAACAGAGATGTGAAGTATTTGCTTACAAAACCTGTCATGAATATTTTGTATATTTGGTGAGGGATGAAAACCCCAAATTTCAGAACCATACATGAAGACTGGAAGAATTTAAACATCGAATATATGTAATAAGACTTTCAATGGTAAATTTGTGAAGGTTTTCATAGAAGATCTGACAGTAGATAGTACTTTCCAGGCTCGTTCTACTAAGGTTCTTTGAGTTTGATACCAATTTCCAGAGCAAGGGAAATGAACACAAGATATTTATATTATGAAACTACCTCTGAGGGGGTTCCGTTTAAAAACAATTTTTCATATTTCCTAAGTCTACCTTATTTTCTAAAAACAATATTTTTAATCTTATCAAGGTTTATTTTAAGTTTCGATTTATTGCAATAAGTGCTTAACTTATTCCTCTGCAGCTCAAGAACTGTGCCATCAAATAGAACAATGTGGTCAGCGAACAGCAGAATAAACAGTTCAATAAAATCTAAATCGATACATCTTTGACTATTAGCAGACAAATATTCAACTAGGTCATTTAAAAAAAGGGAGAATCAAAATGGACATAGTTGATATCCTTGGCGTACTCCATACATACACTCAAAATAAGAGGATATAACCTGTTTTAAGTGAGACACATGACTTTACATTTTGGTACATATTTGTAAGTAAAGAAAAGTCTTTCCTTTCACATTTCCAAGCCACAGCTTGTAAAATAATTAGTCAATAGAATCGAACGTAGCCGTTAAATCGACAAAAGCACAGTATAGTTGTCCCTTATATACCCTTAAGCTGCATGGGAAGTCTGTCTTCCACATGCACTAGGCTGTTGTGTTTGGGTGTTTGAATCAAACATGGTGCTGGTGTCTTTCAGCACCCTTGTTTTTCGCTGTTTTTGACAATGTTTCATTTCACTCAAACTCAACGAATATTGAATCAGTTGCTTTACTGCAAGTTCTAACATGTCGTCTAAAGTGTCCATTAAGCACACAAAAAGTTGCATTTACCTTAGAATATAAATAACGTTTAAGTTTATATATGACTGTCAAATTGTGTTCCCATACTTTTTGTTTGTAGTATATAATGATGAGTATTTATTAACGACTGTATGAAGAATAAATATATTATCAGCTGTTTGGAAACCATGTCTAAAACCTGCTTGCTCTGAGGTGAAAAACTCTTCTTGCTCATCTCATGCGCTGTACGAGTTGTATATATGTTCCCCAGGAGTTGAGATTGAAAATACGATGTGCCGTTGAGATTGACATCCAGTGATTGAGGGAAAAACAAAGCATCTGAGATGGATATTGACGCTTTACAAATACTAGTATTTATTACCCACGTGGTCAACGTATGGGTTGTTACATACTAATCTCGAACGTCACACGAGTGTCGTATCGCGTTGACCTGCGCCGCAACGACTTGACCTGATATTCTGACTAACCGATGACCCCTCAGTTAGGTCACGTTGTGACGGAACTACTTTCATTCATTCTACAACATATAACAATAGTTTATATCAGTACACGGAGATGAAGCTGACCAGTCACGCGACATTCCACGGATGCATTGTGGGAATGTAAACATTGCGAACGTTGCCGTGTCGCAGGTTAAGTGTGAGTCGAACTGAGACATTATATCCGTCGAAAAACATAAACGTAATGTTCCACCAGTGATGTTAGCCGAGTGAAGCAACTGCAAACAAAGAAATGGTGTGCTACGGAGTAGGTTACTGTAGGAGGTTATACGAGGCGATGACAACTGACAAGCGACGTCGGTTGCCAAGGGTACGTTTGATAACGAGGGGGCAAACGAGAATGGCGTAGTGACGTCAATACAGTGTGACGTCATGCAAAAAGTGAACAACAGAACAAAAGTCTTCCGCAACCTCTTTGTGAAACCGATTTCGGTTTGAAACCATGAAAATAACAAAAATAGACTATATTGTCAATTTGATGCAAGTAGGACGTGGGTAATAAATAAAATACCACACCCTGTCTCACCACATACTAATTATACTGGTGACCTTCCTATGGTTTCTGACACTCGTTTCGTATAATTCGTATATAGGAAGGTCACGAGTTTCGTATAATTTGTCGGGATCCGGTGGTCAGGCTCGCTGACTTGGTTGACACATGTCATCGTATCCCAACTGCGTAGATCGATGCTCATGCTGTTGATCACTGGATTGTCTCGATTATTTACAGACCTCCACGATATAGCTGGAATATTGCTGAGTGCGGCGTAAAACTAAACTCACTCACTCCCTCGTATAATTCGTATGTAATGAGACCTTGTGTAGTATTCTCTACGTATGTGCGTGCGTATGTAAACGAGAATACGTACATATAGCATATGTGCCAGGTCAGAAATAATGAGTTCTGTTGTAGAAAGGACAGGCCCACACACGTTAAAACCCCACCTTGCACTTTGTCCAATGAAAGAATTTATTTGAAAAGGCAATGCGTGTCAGTGCTATCTGTGTCAAGGCACCGTGTGATATGAACATGTATTTAAATTCACTGAATATCTGGATTATTAAAGCCACAGTGAAGATCATGTAAATTCATCAAATGAGAATGCCAAGTAAGTAAGGAAAATGTGAAGGACTTGCAAGTAGTTTAAGTTCAAACAAACAATATTTTTCCCTCTGCATCAAACCATGCTATTTTTCTTTGCCACATTTTTAATTCACCATTTTCTTTACACCAGCAGCTGCACTCAAAGCCTACAAACCCTTAATAAAAACCGCAACACGTTTTTCAATATTTGCTGCATCAGCAGTTCCATTTGTAATTTGTTCATAAATATAAAATCTAAATTGAGCAGGTAAATCATGTGACAGTCAAGGACTATTATATACATCCCACTTGTACATGCCTCGCACGAACAATCCAGGGCCCCGTTCCTCAAAGCGATCGTAGCGCTACGACAGTCGTAAGTCTATGTTAAAGTATGGGAGTTACGACTGTCGTAGCGCTTGATACGAACGCTTTGAGGAACGGGGCCCTTATCGTCTAAGGTATATGGAGAGTTATAGCTAGCTGATAAGATTCCTCCCGACCTTTGGACGCTTGCGTTGGTTGTCAACCGGGGACGTCCTACTTTCAGTATTACTGCTGTGTCATTACCCCGGCTCAGTACTACATATACCTGAGGGAACAAGAGCGAGCAGGCTGACGACAAAATGGTTAAATCAAAGAAGTGGATACTTGCTACAAAGTTTGAAGGAGAGCCAAAGGACTCCAACTTCAAGCTTGAAGAGGAGGAGCTGCCTGCTTTGAAAGACGGAGGTGAGAATAAGGCGAGACGAAGCATTGAGATCACCCATGGGTTAGCGTATAGCTAACTGGGTGTATAACGGTGCTCGGCGTTGTTAATGAATTGTCGTGTTATTCATTGCTTCCGCTGTTGCTTATACTCAGATTAATTAGTTATAAATTTATAATGTTGCTACTTGTTATCGGGTACGTTACTGAGACCGTTCTGGGCGAACAATGTCATTTTGCGTTTGCTTAAAGCACCTTGTTTGGAGTCTACCATTACCACACCTGCGTTGTCAATTTAAAAAAATTAATACTCTCACTCACTCACTCACAATATAAACATGAATGACTGACGTGTTTGTATTCGTATCCCTGTACCTCGACAAACAAAGCAAGAAAGCCCTATCGAATCACTTGTGACGAAGGTAGCCTAGTTAGCTACAGCAAAGATCCTGGTTCAATACATGGGTAAAATGTGTGTAGCCCATTTCTGCTGTTCTTGTTGGAATATTGCTGAACTATTGCTAAAAGCTACGTATAACCATACTCACTCACAGGTGTGACGGACTTGTGTATGTGTGTGAACTTGGTTTTGTAATACTGAACTTGGTTTTTGTAATACAGCTAAAGTCAGGTTAAATTTGAACTGGCTCACTACATACTGTTGATACCCAGTCCTGTCACAACACGCCGTTGACCCAGCAGGAAGAGGTTCCATATTCAGATAGCTAATCGTCCCAGTTTCTGCCCTGATTATGTGTCTATCGGGGACAGACCTGAAACCTCTATTCAATTTAGACCAGACATACCGACTGGGGGTATTTGTATACACGTATGCTTGGGGGTATTTGTATACACGTATGCGTGGTGGTATTTGTATACATGTACTTGCAGCTGGATACAGGGCTCGGTGATTTGATTGGTTGGTTTGTTTAACACCGCACTCAGCAATATTCCAGCTATATGGCGGTGGTCTGTAAATAATCGCGTCTGGACAACACAATCCAGTGAGCATCGATCTACTCAATTGGGATACGACGAGTCAGCTAGCCTGACCACCCGATCCCGTTAGTCACCTCTTACCACAAGCATGGGTTACTGAAGACCAATTCTAACCCGGATATTCACGGGTCCATGGTTTTATCAAACTGTAGACTTCAAAACACAGACACACATTAGGATTATCAGCTGATTCCTGTCAATCTTACCCGGATCTTTACGTGTACCTCCACGATTTGAATAGCTAGGGCGAAGGAGACCATAAGTGTAGAACTTGTGCCCAATCCCTTTGTCTTTTGGACAATACGATCTATTTAAAATGTTTGATTAGCTAGTTACACGGGTAAACTCACCCTGATTGTGAGGGGACGTAAACCAGCGACAGGCTGTTATATCAATTACATTGTGGCTGCGTGCGAATCTGGGACAGGTATGTAACTGTGTAAGGAAAATTGAATTCGATACAGTCACGTGAGAGGTACCCCAACAACATCAGTGAACCCTCACCAACGGTGCTTGATCCAAGGTATATCCCGTTGTGCATATGCAGTGTTTCCGCTGCGCCAACAGGAGCTCGGCCATGAGTTATGAACAAAAGAAATCGACTTTCGTCGTACCACAGGCAAACTGTAGCGCAAACAGGGTAGCGCAACAAAGAGAAAGTGACCAGTCTTCGCTTCGCTCGCATATACGAAGACTGGTCATTTTCTCTTTGTTGCGCAACCCTGTTTGCGCTACAGTTTGCCTGTGGTCGGACCTATGGACCATATCCATGACCCCAATCCGATTTCGATACTCAGCGTGCTGCTTTATGCTCTGGGTGAGTGAGTGAGTGAGTTGAGTTTTAAGCTTTCATCAGTATTTCAGCAATATCACGGCGGGGGACACCATTTTGTGATCTGAGGATAACACTGGACGTCTGTTTACGTCACTGTTTACTGAAACGTGATATTTGCGTTCTTCACGTCACAAGATGACAGATACATCACTGTTGTTATTATTTTGAATTACGTCTGTGCGTCCGTCCGTGCAAATTCGTCTTTTCCGGAACAGAACATAAAAACCGTTAAATATTTCCTCACCAAACTTTGCACATAGATAGGTCTGCTGGTGAACTTGTGCCTTTTGGTAGTTATTATTTTCTGAATAAAATATTTTTGGTGTTTCCATGGCAACGAATTTGATTTTGACATAAATTGTTGGTAGTGCTCTTTTCCGGAGCAGTACTTAAAAACCTTTTAACACTCTCATTCCACTTTGTGGGTATTCAAGAACCTAATGACATAAATCAACAGTACCACTCTATTTCCTGTATCAACATTGCTGATGTACATCAAACCGTAGAAGCACTCAGGCAGTCTGTTGTTGATACCAGCATGCTTGTATATGAATAGTTTATATATGTATGTGTTCGTTAGATCAATATGAAGAATAATGTAACATTTGACATAACTAGTTGAACATGAATAGTATTTTACCATTGCGGGGATATTGATGACATTGTAATCTTGTTGGGGTTGGTCATTTACAATCAAAATACACTGTAAAATGTGTTTAAATTTAATTTTAAAGCAAACTTAAACATACAAATGTAGAGCTCATTGGGATAACGGAATTAGTTTATGATTATGACTAAGTTTAGCAGCTTGACGTTTCACGAGGTACAATTAAAAAATGGGAGCCACGGGAGGTGCATAATTTAAGAAATGAGCAATTTAGAAAAATCAGAAATAAAAAAGTGTAAAAGGAAGATGATGATTTTTTCATTTGATGTTTAACAACTATTGACTTATTGACCATACAGTTAGATATATCAAAGATTATTTAATTAAATATTATAGCAATGCCAGCAAAAACACTTTCGTCGATATTCTAAAGACATATAACGAATCAACTATATTAAATATGTCTCTGCTTAGATGGTGATCGTGATGTCAATCACTTGATTATCTATTCCTCACTCGATTATTTACAGACCGGCGCCATATCGTTGAAATATTCCGGCGTTAAGCAACACAAAATCTTTCTCTGTAGATTATAGATCCTTATGAAAATATGTTTCAGAATTCATCTGTGATGCAGTGTATCTTAGTGTGGATCCGTACATGAGGTAAGATCGCGAGGGACTAATGGTTCTCAAAGTTATTTTATTTGATAGTGTTAAACTACGCTACTGCCCTACTACACGGTTCGAGGTCTTTAGTAACGTTACGCATACAAAGCTTACAGAATGGATCTCTGAAATAGGTCACTCTTGCATAGCATTTTGAGAGGTTCTCTTAAATAAAGTCACACGTGATTCCAGCCAGAGCGCATCTATCAAATAGCTTCAGATATGCAGAATGTTTGGGATGAGATGAATCACAGCAGTTGAACATATATTTGTCCCGGTGCCCAAAACTTAATGTGCAAGTTCATGTTACTAACATGTACACATACTTCAATACCTCACCAGCATTGTATTTTGTCTTCACTCCTTTTTCAGGGCACATTCTTTCCCTGTAGGGAGTTGCGTCATCGGCGAACAGGTAGCGAGGTAAGCAACTTGGCGATTTCTACTGAACAAACTTGTGTTGCTTTGGATTCACAAAGCACCCGCTGGCATTAATAAGTAGAAAGACTTGGTTATATGTAATTATTATGATCCAGTATAATATGAATGAAGGTAGAGAGAGAGGGAGAGAGAGAGAGGGAGGGAGAGAGAGAGAGAGAGAGAGAGAGAGAGAGAGAGAGAGAGAGAGAGAGAGAGAGAGAGAGAGAGAGAGAGCGAGAGAGAGAGATGAGTGTGCGTATACGCGTGCGTGTATGAGAGAGTGCGTGTGTGTGTGCGTGTTTGCGTTAGTAGGCATTTCCTAGGGGTATTGGCAGATGGGGGATAGGGGCATATTGAATTACATACTATCAATATAACTGTATGCACAGGCACGAAATTTTGTCTAACGCTCACTTTTGTCTAGATTTACGAAAAAAGATAACACGGGTATGCAGATGTAGTTCACTATTGAGCATTTGTTCCCAGAGTGTCGGAGAGTAAAAACAAGGACTACCCCGTCGGATGCCTGGTGCAGATGTACGCGGGGTGGCGTTCACGTACACTGGTCGACCCTTCAAAACCAAAAGATTTGGAAACCGTTCGCTTCCTCAGAGTGCCCGACCTTGGAAAACTGGAGCCATCTCTCGCACTGGGAATCTTGGGCATGCCAGGGTAGGTGTTCGCATCAGCAGTGGTTGGTTGGCAAGTTTGTTTGTTGTTTAACGCCGCTCTCAGCAATATTCAATATTCAAGGGGGGCTGGAGTCTGGACCAGACAATCCAGCGATCAACAGCATGAACATAGATCTACGCAACGCAATTTGGATTCGATTATATGTGTCAACCATGTCAGTGAACCTCACCGCCTAATCCCGTTAGTCGACTCTTACGACAAGCATGGGTTACTGAAGACCAATTCTAACCCGGATCTTCACCGGTTCGTCAGCTGTGAATAAGGTGTTATATCAGTGATTGTGTGAAGCACAACTTCAAATAACTGAGTGAATGAATCTGCTCAACGACATTGTCATCAAAATTCAAGCTACTTGACACCTGCCTGATCTATGCAAGCTTCTCTAGTCGAGTACGATGACGTGAGTGTTGATATCAATGAATGTGCCACTTGAATTTTTATTTATTTGAACAGCGTGAACATCCTCAGGTTTTGATATTTTGATGAGCAAATGCCACATTTCAGGATGACTGCCTACTTTGGGTTCCTGGAGCTCTGTCAACCTAAGGCTGGTGAGACTGTTCTGGTCAACGGTGCCGCGGGAGCGGTGGGCAGTGTTGTCGGACAGATCGCCAAGATCAAGGTGAGAATATAACATATAACACCAGTGTAATAAACAGAACTACCATATGTCACCGGGTCGCTCTTCACTGACAAAGTTGACCCGTGAAGATCCTTGTTAGAATTGATCTTCAGCAGCCAATGCTTGTCGTAAGAGGCGACTAACGGGATCGGGTGGTCTGGCTCGCTGACTTGGTTGACACATGTCATCGGTTCCCAACTGCGCAGCTCGATTCTCATTCTGTTGGTCACTGGATTGTCTGGTCCAGACTCGATTATTTACAGACCACCGCCATATAGCTGGAATATTGCTGAGTGTGGCGTTAAACTAAACTCACTCACTGTCGAAGTCACCGTAGTGCCTTCCCTGCTCATTGCTGTCCGACAGTCGGTGCACCTCGGCGTTTTGTGCTAACTATTGCTTCAGTAGCATCTACACATTCTATTCACGAACAGTTCAGTCGTATACTTTCATCATGCATTGCTTTCATGTAAGTTATTTTCCCGGCAAGCTTATACATGGAATGAAGATGTTTGTAGTCATCAATACATTTTGGTAAGTACATCTACCCTAGTGGTAAGGTATATAGTTAGTTTGCTACTCGTGTTTTAGAGGAGCAGTGGGGTAGCATAGTGGATAAAGCCTTCGCCCGTCACGCCGAAGACCCGGGTTCGATTCCCCACAGGGGCAAAATGAGTGAAGCCCATTCCTGGTGTCCCCCGCCGTGATATTACTGAAATATTGCTAAAAGCGGCGTAAAACTCCACTGACTCATTATTTTAGAAAACAGAATTCTGGTTAATCCCTGGGGCACTAAGAGGACCATACAAACTAGCGCGAGCTACTTTCTCTTGCGTCCGTGCGCCGGTTGTTAGAACTTTAGCACTTTCACGCGTAACTATCGATAGGCATTGATGGACTTTTACGGGTCATATTGTTCCCGGGTGGTATCTAACGAGTTACTTCTGGAGTTACGTCTTATGTCAGGAGTAGTGCCTCAGTGCTCATTGCTGCCTTACTAACCAAGCTGAAGTTCCTGGCTCGAGAGGGTCAAAGTAGTTGCCTACGAGGTGATAACTGGTCACACAACCGACAGTCTTTGCATCTTGTCGATTGTACTCTCTGACAATGGTTTTAGTTATCTTAGTAATAGCGGTTATGCAGTTGCTCAGCTAATCAGATTGTATATTTACTCATGGTTTGTGAATCAGCGATGCCTTGTTTGTGTAAATTGAGATCATGATCCCCAAGATCGCCTGTCTTTACCGTTCAAAATATATGGGTGGGGGGTGGGCGGTATGGTGAATTTTATGGAGAAGCATGTTGTATGCTTCTCTCGAGGGTAATACGGTCTGATGTACGTCTCTTGGTTGCAGTGTCACCCGAGCCACGGGTGAAACACGCAGGTTTTTGCGTTAACGCGAACACTGATAATTGTTCGGAAAACCAATCGTTTTAACGTCGTTTCCAGGGGTGCAAGGTGATTGGATTTGCTGGATCAAAGGAGAAATGTGATTGGGTGAAGAGTCTTGGATTTGATCACGTGTTCAACTACAAGGAAGTAGACATCGACAAGTCCCTGAAAGAGGCTGCCCCCGACGGAGTGGACTGCTACTTTGATAACGTACGTACACCGTCCACCTATTGTCACCTCTAACGCCAAACCAAAGTCAACACACTGTATCTACACCACCCACCTATTGTCAACATACTGTACGTACAACATCCACCTATTGTCACCCCCTACGCCAACCTATAGTCAACACACTGTATCTACACCACCAATCTAATGTCAACATACTGTATGCACAACACCAGGCCATTGTGAAAAATTGTACTTACAGTACCCACCTTTTGCAATATACTGTACGTACAAGGCCAAGCTATATTTAACATGCTGCATCTACAACACCCTCCAGGTGTGAACGTACTATACGTACAACACCCTCCTATTGTCAACATACTGCAAATACAGCGCCCACCCACTGTCAACATACTGTACATACAACACCCACCCACTGTCAACATACTGTACGTACAACACCCACCCACTGTCAACAAACAGTACTTACACCATCCACCCACTGTCAATTTACTGTACGTACAACACCAACCCACTGTCAACACAAACTGTCACTGTACGTACACACCATCCCACCCACTGTCAAACACCCACCCCTTTACAGTACGTACAACACCCACAAACTGTCAGCATACTGTACGCACACCACCCACCCACTGTCAGCATACTGTACGTACAACACCCACCCACTGTCAGCATACTGTACGTACAACACCCACTCACTGTCAGCATACTGTATGTACAACACCCACCCACTGTCAACATACTGTACATACACCACCCACCCACTGTCAGCATACTGTACGTACAACACCCACCCACTGTCAGCATACTGTAGGTACAACACTCACCCACTGTCAACATACTGTAGGTACAACACCCACCCACTGTCCACATACTGTAGGTACAACACCCACCCACTGTCAATATACTGTAGGCACAACACCCACACACTGTCCACATACTGTAGGTACAACACCCACCCACTGTCCACATACTGTAGGTACAACATCCACCCACTGTCCACATACTGTAGGTACAACACCCACCCACTGTCCACATACTGTAGGTACAACACCCACCCACTGTCCACATACTGTAAGTACAACACCCACCCACTGTCCACATACTGTAGGTACAACACCCACCCACTGTCCACATACTGTAGGTACAACACCCACCCACTGTCAACATACTGTAGGTACAACACCCACCCACTGTCAACATACTGTAGGTACAACACCCATACACTGTCAACATACTGTAGGTACAACACCCACCCACTGTCAACATACTGTACGGTACAACACCCACCCACTGTCCACATACTGTAGGTACAACACCCACCCACTGTCAACATACTGTAGGTACAACACCCACCCACTGTCAACATACTGTAGGCACCACACCCACCCACTGTCCACATACTGTAGGTACAACACTCCACCCACTGTCAACATTCTGTAGGTACAACACCCACCCACTGTCAACATACTGTACATACAACACTGTCCACCCCACTGTCAACATACTGTAGGTACAACACCCACCCACTGTCAACATAACTGTAGGTACAACACCCACCACACACTGTCAACAGACTGTCAACATAGGTAGGTACAACAGCCACCCACTGTCCACATACTGTAGGTACAACACCCACCCACTGTCAACATACTGTACATACAACACCCACCACTGTCAACATACTGTACATACAACACCCACCACTGTCAGCACACTGTACATACTGTACATACAACACCCACCACTGTCCACATACTCTACATACAACACCCACCCAATGTAAACATACTGTAGGTACAACACCCATACACTGTCAACATAATGTAGGTACAACACCCACACACTGTCAACATACTGTAGGTACAACACCCACCCACTGTCCACATACTGTACATACAACACCCACCCACTGTCAACATACTGTACGTACAACACCCACCCACTGTCAACATACTGTACATACAACACCCACCACTGTCAACATACTGTACATACAACACCCACCCACTGTCAACATACTGTACATACAACACCCATCCACTGTCAACATACTGTACATACAACACCCACCCACTGTCACACATACTGTAGGTACAACACCCATACACTGTCAACATACTGTAGGTACAACACCCACCCACTGTCCACATACTGTAGGTACAACACCCACCACTGTCAACATACTGTAAGTACAACACCCACCCACTGTCAACATACTGTAGGTACAACACCCACCCACTGTCAACATACTGTACATACAACACCCACCCACTGTCCACATACTGTAGGTACAACACCCACCCGCTGTACTGTACAACACCCACCCACTGTCCACATACTGTGGGTACAACACCCACCCACTGTCCACATACTGTACAACATCCACCCACTGTCAACACATACTGTACTACAACACCCATCCACTGTCAACATACTGTAAGTACAACACCCACCCACTGTCACTGTAGGTACAACACATACTGTAGGTACAACACCCATCCACTGTCAACATACTGTAGGTACAACACCCATCCACTGTCCACATACTGTAACATACACCCATCCACCCACTGTCCACATACTGTACATACAACACTCCATCCACTGTCAACATACTGTAACCCACTGTACAACTGTAGAACACAAACACCCATCCACTGTCCAACATACTGTAGGTACAACACCCACCCACTGTCAACATACTGTACATACAACACTGTCCACATACTGTAGGTACCACACCCACCCACTGTCAACATACTGTACCCACTGTCAACATACTGTAGGTACAACACCCACTGTCAACCACTGTCCAACATACTGTACATATACAACACCCACTGTCCCATACTGTCATCCACACATACTGTAGGTACAACACCCACCCACTGTCCACATACTGTAGGTACATACAACACCCACCCACTGTCAACATACTGTAGGTACAACACCCACCCACTGTCCACATACTGTACTGTACATACAACACCACCCCTGTCAACACCCACTGTCCACACATATACAACACCCACCCACTGTCAACATAGTACACACAACATTCCACACACTGTCCACATACTGTACATACAACACCATCCACCATACTGTCCACTGTCAACACTGTCGAACATACTGTACATACAACACCCACCCACTGTCCACATACTGTACATACAACACCCACCCACTGTCCACATACTGTACGTACAACACCCATCCACTGTCCACATACTGTACATACAACACCCACCCACTGTCCACATACTGTACATACAACACCCACCCACTGTCAACATACTGTACATACAACACCCACTGTCCATCATCCACTGTCAGCACCATGTAGGTTTGTCCACATACTGTAGTACATACAACACCCATCCACTGTCCACATACTGTAGGTATCTGACAGGGCACACCCACTGGTGAACACACTGAACACATACTGTACATACAAGCAGACCAGGGTTCATCACTAATTGAACCATAGATTGCGAGGGTTGACAACTAATTGACAAACTGGACTGTAGAAGACCAGGATTGAACACTAAGTAGACAGTAGGAGTACAGGGTTGAACACTAATTGGCAGTAGAAGAAGACGACGTTTGTTACTCATTGGGCAGAAGGAGAACATGGTGGAACACTCATTGGGCAGTAGCAGAACAAGGTTGAACACTCATTAGGCAGTAGAAGACCAGGCTTCAACACTCATTTGGCAGTAGGAGAACAAGGTTGTACACTTATTGGGCAGTAGAAGACCAGGGTTCAACACTAATTGGGCAGAAGGAGAACAGGGTTGTACACTTATTGGGCAGTAGGAGACCAGGGTTCAACACTAATTGGGCAGTAGGAGAACAAGGTTGTACACTTATTGGGCAGTAGGAGACCAGGGTTCAACACTCATTGGGCAGAAGGAGAACAGGGTTCAACACTTATTGGGCAGTAGGAGACCAGGGTTGAACACTCATTGGGCAGAAGGAGAACAGGGTTCAACACTTATTGGGCAGTAGGAGACCAGGGTTCAACACTAATTGGGCAGTAGGAGAACAAGGTTGTACACTTATTGGGCACAAGGAGACCAGGGTTCAACACTCATTAGGCAGAAGGAGAACAGGGTTCAACACCTATTGGGCAGTAGGAGACCAGGGTTGAACACTAATTGGGCAGAAGGAGAACAGGGTTCAACACTTATTGGGCAGTAGGAGAACAAGGTTGTACACTTATTGGGCACAAGGAGACCAGGGTTGAACACTCATTGGGCAGAAGGAGAACAGGGTTCAACACTTATTGGGCAGTAGGAGACCAGGGTTGAACGCTAATTGGGCAGAAGGTGAACAGGGTTGAACACTAATTGGGAAAGAGGAGAACAGGGTTAAACACTCATTGGGCAGTAGAAGACCAGGGTTGAACAATCATTGGGCAGTAGAAGAACACTAATTGGGTTGAACAATCACAACACTTATTGGGCAGTAGGAGAACAGGGTTCAACACTTCATTGGGCAGTAGAAGACCAGGGTTCAACACTAATTGGGCAGAAGGAGAACAGGGTTCAACACTCTTATTCAACACTCAACATTGGGCAGTAGGAGCAGGGTTCAACACTAATTGGGCAGAAGGAGAACAGGGTTCAACACGTATTGGGCAGTAGAAGACCAGGGTTCAACACTTATTAGGCAGTAGAAGACCAGGCTTCAACACTAATTGGGCAGAAGGAGAACAAGGTTGTACACTTATTGGGCAGTAGGAGACCAGGGTTCAACACTAATTGGGCAGTAGGATAACAGGGTTGTACGCTTATTGGGCACAAGGAGACCAGGGTTGAACACTCATTGGGCAGAAGGAGAACAGGATTCAACACTTATTAGGCAGTAGGAGACCAGGGTTCAACACTCATTGGGCAGAAGGAGAACAGTGTTGAACGCTAATTGGGCAGAAGGAGAACAGGGTTGAACATTAATTGGGAAATAGGAGAACAGGGTTAAACACTCATTGGGCAGTAGAAGACCAGGGTTCAACACTAATTGGGCAGAAGGAGACCAGGGTTCAACACTTATTGGGCAGTAGAAGACCATGGTTCAACACTTATTGGGCAGTAGAAGACCATGGTTGAACACTTATTGGGCAGCAGAAGACGAGGCTTCAACACTCATTGGGCAGAAGGAGAACAAGGTTGAACACTAATTGGGAAATAGGAGAACAGGGTTAAACACTCATTGGGCAGTAGGAGACAACGATTGAACACTCATTGGGCAGAATGTGTTCATATTTGATCAGTATCTCGGCAGTGGTAGAACAGTTCTGTTATTAATTGTGCAGTAGAAGATCAAACGTCATCATCATATTATACCGGGGAAGACTTGGGTTGTGAATAACTGGGTAGAAAACAAGGACACTGTTAAACAAGGAATAGGCCCAAAAGCAGTTGGAGACAATGAGGTTTATGACAGTGGATAGTCTTCCAATAGTGTAGACACCTGGTTAATAACTGAAAGCTAACAACAAGCATATAATTTTACAGGTGGGAGGAGAGTTCACGTCTATAGCAATTCAGCACATGAATCTGTTTGGAAGGATTTCTATTTGTGGTGGTATCTCAGTCTACAATGCCACAAAACCACCCATCGGTAAGCATTTTCGAGCTATACCCTACGCATACCCTCTTGGAATTTGTTGGATATTTGTTGAGATGTCGGTTTATGAACGTGTATCAAGCTCATGCTTTGGTTCAAGCCTTGTAGTTGTATATGGTCCAAAATGTCGAGGTTAATTTTGCATGTGGGCCTGGTTCGAGGCCTTCAAACACTGTCTATACTATGGGGAACATATCCAAACTTACACAAAGTGCCATGGCATGGCAAACTAAGGACCACCTGTTATGGACATGCAGAGATGATGGAGTGTCGTTTTCTAATTTTCTATGACAGAAGGAGTCATGGGAGTTTGTTTTAATGTGATCAGGTGCATTTAAGATTACATCATCAGATAGACTATGTACATCATAGTATCTCTTCTCTGAAAAAAACGATTTCCGGGTAGGACCACCAACTATGATAATCAATTACGACATAAACATGACTATTGCGACCATCATATTGTTGAAGGATGAGAACTACTGGAAGTCTATTGTCCAATAACTGGACTGTTGGATGCTTTTATGAAGAGGTTTGAATGTCTGTTAATATCTGTTTTGCACATTGGGTGCAGTCTCATTATCTGCAAACTTGTGTTGAGTGTTAAATATATTTCTTAAATTAACGTTCGTATTATTTTTCAGCAACATAGTCGTGCAGGGTGCACTGCGATAAAAAACGTGGAAGGTGATATCTTCATTTCCAACAGGCTTCCTATTTTCTTCTGTACACTCATGTGCATTTATTTTGTGTCTTCTGTCAGGCCCCAGTCCCTACATGACGATCTTGTCCAAACAACTGAAAGTTGAAGGTTTTATTGTGTATCGGTGGGCGGACAGGTTCTTGGAGGGCAAGGCTGAAATGAAGAAATGGATAGATGAGGTGAGTATCGGAGTGCTAAAGTAACTATTCAAAAATTATTTACTTATAACAGCGACTTCTATTGAGTAACGCCTCGCTTACAGAGGGACGGAGTCATTCATTTTGGAGGAAGTCTTAAATCTTGCCTCGAGATACCGACCGGGTCGAACAAACTGAACCGGCTTCGGAGAATATTAATAAAGATTGTGAAGCATTAAGTTTATGTACTAGAGAAGCGACGAGGCAGCTTTTAATCTTTCACCCCAAGCTGCCAAGGGTTACTAAGTTAGTGAGTTAGCGAGTTAAGATTTTAAGTCACATCGGCAATATTTCAGCCATATCGTGACTAAAGCAAGTTATATATTTATTATGATTGAAAGAGTTAAGATTTTAAGTCACATCGGCAATATTTCAGCCATATGGTGACTAAAGCAAGTTATAGATTAATAATGATTGAAAGAAAAATTATAAACACCTGTCAACGAAGGACAGTAAAACAACTAGATTATCACAGATACTTGTTGTATATATATTTAAAACTAGTAATTAAATCTAAAACAGTTGAACTATAGAGGACGATACAGTATAAAACAGACTATAGATTTTCAGCCGCTGGCGATTGTAGGGAAATTTTGACAAAATTAAAAGAGCATGTATACTACGATTAAAAATGATAGTAGGTTTAAATTTACCTTGAATGCTTTGGGACTAACGTACCCTCTCCGGAGGATCCAATTGTTACTAAGTGTACATCCACATGACCTTAGACCGCGTCCGTGGTGTAGTGGTTAGAGCGTCCGCCCGGAGAGCGGAAGGTCGCGGGTTCGATCCCCGACCGCGTCATACCAAAAGACGTTAAAATATGGTACTTGTTGGTCCCTGCCTGGCGCTCGGCATTAATGGGTACATCAAGGACTGGTCGGCTCGGAGTCATTATAATGTGTCTGAGTGGGGTATTGACGCTTCACTGCGGCATGGTATCTCAGTGGGCTAGCACTATAAAACCAGCTTCAGTCTGGGCTAGTATAAGCAGCCGCACATACACATACACACGCATGCACGTCGTCATATGAGCGAAATATTCTCAAGCACGACGTTAAACCCAATTTCACCTCACCTCACATGACCTTAGACCTTGTAGCACAGGTTAGCGTGATTAGTGACACTGACATATGATCACCATGATAAGGTACAACACTTGCAGTTTAAGAACATGTTTTATGTACAGTAAAGGTCTGAGTGGTGTTAAGTTACCGAGTTATTACGGTAAGTATGGTTTTGCGCCGCTTTTAGCAAAAGCCATCAATATCACGGCGGGGGACACTAGAAGTGGGCTTGACACTTAGTGGCCATGTGTAGAATCGATCTCGGGTCTTTGATGTGACGAACGAACGCTTTAACCACTTGGCCACCATTGTTTTCTTAGATAATTACTAAGCGGTAACTTATAACCCGATGTAATTGAATATTTCTGTACATAAGCGTTAAAAATACAAATGGGTGGTATCTCAGTCAGAACCTCGTCATAAGTGTACATTAATCCATATTCGGAACTATGGATGTAGGTAATAATATGTAAATATTTATTGGATGACTTGAGGACGTTCTCTCGAAATAGATGTATATTATAAAGCTCTGTCTATCTCGAAGGTCTAGTTCAGTCATAGTTTGGAGACAAGGATCATAGTTTTGTTCGACATAAACTGCCCGACTTCATTACATCGGTTGTTAGTTGAATATATGACTCGACGGTCAGTGAAGATCCGAGTTAGAATTGATCTTCAGTAACCCATGCTTGACGTAAGAGGTGACTGACGGAATTGGATGTTCAGGCTGGAAACGATTGTGTTTATACGTCATCGTATCCTAATAGCGTAGATCGATGCTCATGTTGTTGATCACTGGATTGTCTGGTCCAGACTCGACAGACCGCCGACATTTAGCTGGCTGGAATATTGCGGAGTGCGGCGGCGTAAAATAGACTCACTCAATGACTAGACATTTTACAACGAGGGGTCACGGAAATATCTGATCATTTCCACAGGGCTTATTTCACATTGCATTCTATTACAGGGAAAGATCAAGTACAGAGAGACGGTCCAAGATGGTTTCGACAACATGCCCAAGATCTTCATGTCGCTCTTGAAAGGAGCCAACATTGGGAAGATGGTCGTCAAAGCCTAAGATATCAAAGGGATCATTGATCATTTCAGTCTGCAGTATATATACTCTATGAACTGTGCAAACTATTTATTCATTTTTGTGACATTATAGCTGTTTGTAAATTTTGTGAAACTTTGTAACATTAAGATGTTTTATATATACTAGGGCTGGGACGGGTAGGAAAAAATGGAATCGAGTACCCGCATGTACTTACCCGAATCGGAATCGAGTACCCGGAAATGTAAGGAATACAGCGTTTCTGTCAACTTTCTGAATATTCAATCACGATTTGACAGAGATTATTATAGAAAACTTGAAAGGCTGGCAATAAGACATTAAAAATGATCTCAAGCTATTTAATTTACGCCTGTTTAACCAATAGAAAGAGCAACGCCATTACTTACAATCCTCGTTAAAACACAGAGCTTTTCGTTCCTGCTGTTACTGTAACTTGACTACTCACTGCTCATGCGCAGATAAATTACAGTCGTTAATAATAACCTCCATTAATCGGACAATACCAGTGATGTAAATTTGTGTAACGATAATAATAATGAAAAAAGACAAGTTATATTATATGCCCTTGTCATTACAGAGTTCTCTCCTTTTCCAGGTACTCGATTCCCAGAAATAGGACTCGATTCCAGCCCCTTATTCGAGTACCCGAGTACCCGTCCCAGCGCTTATGTATACATAAACATTTATATATAAATCGTGTTGTGTATCATTTTAAATTCGAGAATGGAGGAATAACAGAACAAAATGACATTCAAATTAAGCATTTAAAATTTATTGTAGAACGAAAGCTGTATGCTTCCAATCTATTGTCGAAATAAACAATACAGGTAACTAATATTGGTTAACGAAAAACATGAATTGCTACAAATATTTAAAATATACTATTTTTCCCATTTTTGCCACAAACACGTATTTACTTCACGCATTAAGCCCTGTCTGCCACCAAGCACCTGATATCAGCTTGTTGCAATGTCGATAGCCAGCATAAACAGAACAAACTTGTAAAGTGACCTAAATTCCGCACTAGTGTCGAATAAAGATTGATTACAACCGTACAGCCTCGCCTATTGTTTAATTACATCACAAACTAATTGATCAGGTAACGTTCACACTGACTGGAGCAACGTTCCAACTGAAAAAGAGGAGATCCGCATATTGTACCCATCATTGAATTCAAACCCGGGCCGCCGTCGTGACACCGTTTAAACCAATAGGGTTACCAGCCAGCTTCAGGAGTTATGCAGGCTTTGGGTATACGAAACAACATCCCCATTTCTTGGAAATACTCTCTATACAAATAGTTTATGTTAGAGACTCTATTAGTCAGATCACAATACACTTACGTTCATATACCTTATATCTGTTCAGAAGTTCTCTTTGTTTTCGAGAGAGGATAAAACGCGATAACACCACTTGTTACTTGACGAACGATTGTGTGTATTGAAAATGGGCCCTCCCTCTTTTTATGTATCAGTATTAAAGTCGTTGAATAACATTTAAGGACGTATTGTCTCATTACTGAGTGAGTGAGTGAGTTTTGGTTTTACGCCGCTTTTTGCGATATTCCAGCAATATCATGTCGGGGGACACCAGAAATGTACCCATGTTCACATAGTGTACCTATGTGGGGAATCGAACACGGGTGTTCGGCGCGACGAGCGAAGGCTTTAACCACTATGCTACCCCACCGCCCCGTATCCTTATTGTCTCAGCCAGGGCGCCACGACATACTGCATACATTTGAACATACCAGTGCACGTTGTTTAGCCCAGGCATGACTTATTTCAGTATCATGTCGTGACTGTATGGAAGAGGTGCACAATGTCACCCTGTTTGAGAAATGCAGACGCACGAACGCTGATTCACACAATCACCTGTCTGTTGAGCGACGTCAGGCATGGTCTTGTTGATTATTTGAGAGATATGACATCACAAACACGGAAACGGTCTACACCATTAACACTCGTATGTGCTTGTTGCTTGTTTAACGTCATTAATTGTTCAATGTCATAAATGCAGATGTTGCTAGTAGTTATTTTTCACAAAACTCCTGATTAATGAAAATCCCTAAAGCGGCATTCACACGGCAAACTAATGTTTGACAACACATGTTGTTGAAATTTTGAAAGTTGTCAAACTCACGTTTTCTCACGTTAAACACATGTTGTCAAACTTAAGTGTCATTTGAGCGCTATGTCTGACAATTTCGTTGACTGCGATTGGTTGTTTTTGAACATGTGTTGTGAAACTTTTGTTTGCCGTGTGAAGACCGCTTAAGTACACCCTTATCGAATCCGTCGTGGGTAATTTATCGTTGGTTATTGGTAACTTGAGAATTCCAAACACGCAACTCCCGCGAGGGACGAGTAGCCAGTCTACTACACAGGGTCGGATACAGCTTTTTGAGAGAGAGGGGTGCACACTATTGAGAAAGGATGGGTGCACACTTCCTTTGCACGAGAGTTTCAATGGTCATTTGATAAACACACACACAAACACAAACACAAACACACACACCCCGACCCCACAGATCCGCCTATGCTACAGCACTGCAGTTTCCTTTTGTCGTGTGAGTTACCGTTGATCGCGGGTTCGAATCCAAACTTCTCCCTGATCCCGATATATCCCATCCTCGATAATCTCCAAGGTAAACGCTCCAATAAATCTCGACTAGTAACCTGGATGCATCTACGATTCGGCCCAATAGTTGTATTACCACTCTCTACTGGGTCTGCCTTCTCACAGTAGCCAATCAGATAAGCTGTTACAACCGAGCTTGCCAGTGTCAACGGAGATACCGGCCGCAGCCGCGAAAGTTTGCTCACTGTGCGACACAGATTTAGGGAAAAAATCATACAGACAAATTGACAGGTCTGAAACTTTCAAAATATGAGCAAGAACTCCTTCTACCTCTTTCAGAGTACATCTGCAACAACTGTGTTGCCAAGTGTAATCGGTTTGACCAGAGACCATATAATAAATCTATCTTTATGTATGTGAAGTAGTTATACAATGATCATATATCAGTGATTAAGAGAACATGATGGCTGATTACCCAAGCATTCACATGCACACATAAGGGGGTGATGGTAGCCTGATGGTTAAAGCCTTCGACAATTACGCAGAAGACCCAGTGGAGCCCAGTGCCTAGATTATCGAAGCTCTCTTAGCGCTACGATCGTCGTGTTAATGTTAATGTATGGCACTTACGACTATCTTAGCGCTAAGAGAGCTTCGAAAGTCTAGGCACTTGGCTCCATTCCCCACATGGGTACAATGTGTGAAGCCCATTTCTGGTGTCCCCGACATGTGATTGCTGGAATATTGTCAAAAGCGGCGTAAAACTACACTCATACGCACAAATATGATGACTGGAAGAACATAACCACGAAATAAAGGAACTACTTAATCGAGATCTACATCTGAAGAGAATGTGTGCGCCTGTATGGGAAACTCAAATCGTTGAGCTAAGCACATGCTTAAAATGCCCCTGAGCAGTGTCTTAGTAAACGAAATGGGGAACTGTGGATACTTGAGGGGAAGCATCAACATCCGAATTTGCCTGAATGTTTTGCAAATGAAATAGTGTAATTGTTTGACCGGGGAACAAATATAGACAAAAGGGTGAGGTTGCAACGAAACCTGGTGTGAGTGAGTGGGTTTTATGCCGCTTTTAGCCGGGATCGGGTGGTCAGGCTCGCTGACTTGGTTAACACATGTCATCGTATCATATTGTGTAGGTTGATGCTCATGCTGTTGATCACTGGATTGTCTGGTCGAGACTCGATTATTTACAGACCGCTGCCGTACAGCTGGCATATTGCTGAGTGTGGCGTCAAACAACAACTAGCCAACCAACCGCTTTTAGTAATATTCCAGCAATATCACCCGGGGGATACCAAATTCACTGAGACCTGGACATGGCGGGACTAGAAAACACAACATCGTCTCTTTACATCTATACTACTATGTATACGCATCAAATCTGCTTCAGTACTAACAGAGAATCCCGTACAAAAACAGGATGGCGAATTTTTCTCCCGTTGCGACGTGCGATATGACTGGGCAACAATGCTTGACTTTGGCCGGAATGGGAACGGTTGTGCCGTGGTGTTGGGAGGCATCACAAATGACAGGAAGATTGATTTGGTTATTACGAATGTATTATGTATTGGTACAAACTGTTAAACATGCCTTCTATACGTTTCCCTAAGAAATGTTACAATTTATTCCTGTTAGATGCTTCAAATGGTAAAATTGACATCAAAATTTAAAAACTTATTGTATACAATGGGTTTTGGATACGTATGGGAAAATCAATTTATTCCTAATATAAACCTTTTTATTTCTGAATTCATACCTAGAGCCCAAAACACATATTTACAGGAATGGCATTCCTCGTTGTCTAATGGCTCAAAAACTTACCTATATTCTCAATTTAAATTTATTTTTGGTGTTGAGCCATATCTCCATTGCATAACTATCAAGAAATTTCGTATTGCCTTAGCGAGGTTCAGGTGTAGTTCACACCAACTAAATATAAAAACTGGTAGATATATAAAGAAACCAAAAAGCTCAAGATTGTGTGAAATGTGTTCCTGTAACTATGTAGAAAATGAGTACCACTTTTTACTGATTTGTACTGCCTATGATGATCTACGTAAACGTTTTATCCCTGTCGATGTTTTCACCCATCCAACCTTGTGTAAATTTAATCGACTGATGAGTAATGCTACTACTCTGGTTTTAAGAAATCTTGCCTTGTTTATCTTCTATGCTAACAATCGTCGTCGCTACAGCTTGAAGGCTGCTAATGTATATAACGCTTGTACCATGGGCCGATGGCCTACATTCACATGAATAAAGACTAAAGAATGGGTATTTGTTATAACATTTTTTTGTTATTTGTTGGTGTGCTTAGATTTCTGGATCCCTTATTGTTTCAATATGGAATTGGACGCGTACTCTTTCCCGTTAGTATAAATGAACTATTATTTCCAAACAATACATTAAGCATGGATGTCTATACTAATCGACGTTAGCAATAGTGTCTGTACTGATGTACATCAGTAATGGTGTTTACACTAATGTACGTTAGGAATAATGTTCGAATGTAGCGGCTATAATCACACTTCCACATTTTGCAGTTCTCGCCTTTTAAGGTTTTCGCCCTCTTTTCTTTTCAAGCACACTCAAGACAGATTGTTATTATATGTGCACTTATACTGAGCTAAATTCCAGGCATAGATCGCTTGCTCATGGCGCTACAAACAAAATGTCACTGCAGAAAATCAAAGGCGCTATTTTTCATGGGCGCTTACAAGTAGTAGAAAGTCCTAAAGAGATAGGCTTTGAGGTCGCTCATAAAAAGGTGAGTGAGTTTAGTTTTACGCTGCACTCAGCAATATTCCAGATATATGGCGGCGGTCTGTAAATAATCGAGTCTGGACCAGACAATCCAGTGATCAACAACATGAGCATTGATCTGCACAATTGGGAACCGATGACATGTGTCAATCAAGTAAGCGAGCCGGACCACCCGATCCCGTTAGTCGCCTATCACGACAAGCATTGGTTACTGAAGGCCAATATTCTAACCCGGACCTTCACGCGTAAATATAAAGGTCAAGGGATTCTGCCTCCTTGATTTGAAGAGGTAACAGTTTCCATAAAGTGGCAGCCTAAAAGGCAAAGGATCTATATCCAAACATTTTCAGATTGTAGGCTGCTTTGGTACTTCAAGTTGATGATGGTCGGCAGATCGAAGTGATCTCAATCGTACACATTTGTGAATGAGATCATTCAAATATGGAGGAGCTGACTAATGGCAATCGAAATTTAATCGACGGTCTTGTTTTTGAAACGTAATCGTACAACAAAGCTCACAGGTGACACAGTTTGCATGAATTTTCAGATTAATCATCGATGCCCAGTGAGGCAGGAGACGCTCACCTTGTCACGAACAGGTATTATCACTATTTGGCCACGTTTCATAAATACATCATCATGATACAGTCGGAATCTACAACTTCTCTTGAACATGGAAAGTTTTTTG